ATGTGCAAAAATTATATTCTAGACCTGGAGCATTTAATATCCTATGCTTATTTGTAGGACAAATTCAAAACTGTCCATGAATGGCTGCACAAATACATAGCCACATATAACTCATTTTCAAAGACACAAGTAAGCATATCAGACTTAAAATCTGTGATTACACTGGCAACACTGGGAAGAAGTGGATTAATAAAACACTGTAAGTGTGGGAAATAACAGTAGTGTTCTTGCTGACAAGCACACTAATTACCCTTTATTTTAGCCCCTTGTTAAGAATGAGAATTGTTCAACTGATCAGACTAAATACAGTAAATTGATAATAAAATCTCCTGAAGACAAGTTTACATAAATATGCCCCTACACCCTGACCAAATGATTTCTCTATGTATTGTCCCCCCTCTAGAATCAAACTGACACTTTTGGGTTCACAATCTGTTTGACAAAATGATTTTCATAGTTACAAATCAGGTCACCAAACTTCCCTGCTAAAACATACTGTAGGTCTGTCTGCTGCCTTTTCGTTATCACAGCCTAATCTTGAAACGAGGGGACTAATGCAAGTGTAGATTCAATTGACTTTAGTACATGCTGTCAAAAGGCTGCATTCTGCAATAGGGAGGGGAGTAACAGCAACCTAATTCTGTTGACAACATTGGACATAAAACAGACCTACCATGCTGCTCTTTTTACAGTTTTATAAACTTTCTCTCTCTCCATTCAAATCAACTAAAATCCAGGTTTATTTATACAGCACATTTCAGACATGGAATGCAACACAATTACAGGAAAAAACTAATAAAAAACAATGAAAATAAAAGCTGAAATATTTACTAGACAACAAACACAAGATCAAAACAAAAGAATGACAAACTGAACAACTAAAAAAAAACCTGAGGAAAAGCAAAGCTAAACAGATGTGTTTTAAGATCTCTTTTAAATATGTCCACAGTTTCAGCCCCCCTCAGGTTCTCTGGCAGGCTATTCCAGAGGCTGAGGGCATAATAACTAAAGGCTGCCTCTCCATTGTTCCTAGGCTTTGGGATAGTTAAAAGGCCAGTGCCAGAGGACCTGAGGGACCTACTGGGTACATAACTTAAAAGCATGTCTGACATGTATTGGGGTGCACAATCGTGGATTGATTTAAAAACCAATATAGAAGAATCTTAAAATTAATTCTAAAACTCACAGTGCAGAGACCTTAAATCCGATGTAATGTGTGCTCTCGGTCTGGTCTTGGTCAGTACCCATGCTGCAGTATTCTGTATGTTTTGCAGTTGACCAATGGCTTTCTTGGGTAGACCAGACAGGAGAGCATTACAGTAGTCAAGCCTGCTTGTAATAAAAGCATGGATGAGTCTCTCTGTATCAGCCTGAGAGAGAAACGGCTGCACCTTGGCAATGTTCCTCAGGTGGTAAAAAGCTATTTTGGTCACATTCCTAATGTGTGATTCGAAATTTAGTTCAGAATCTAAAATAACACCTGGGTTTTTTACTTGGTGTTTTGTCTTTATTTGTCTCTGTGCTTTGGCTCCAACAATAAGTACCTCGTTCTTGTCTTGATTTAGCTGGAAGAAGTTGTGAGCCATCCAATCATTTAAATCACTAATACAGTCTAATAATTTATCTGTGGAGCTAAAATCCTCTGTTAACACAGAAATGTAAAGTTGTGTATCGTCTCCGTAGCAGTGAAAATCAGTGCTGTGCTTTCTGATAACGCTGCCAAGGGGTAACATATATAAACTGAACAGTACCTGACCCAAAATCGAACCTTGTGATATGTATTTTCTCTGAGTTATGTTCACCAAGGGTGACAAAAAACTCTCGACTGGTTAAATAGGTTCTAAACCCATTTAGAACTGGACCGGAGAGGCCAACCCACCTCTCCAGTCTGTCCAGAAGGACATCATGGTCAACAGTGTTGAATGCAGCACTTAAATCTAAGGATAATTTACCACTTTAACTAAGGCTGTCTCTGTGCTGTGGTGGGCACAAAAAACAGATTGGAATTTTTCAAAACTACAGTTTGCACTTAAAAAATCATTTAGCTGTTTGAACACGAATTTCTCCAGAATTTTCCTTAAGAGTGGAAGGTTGGAGATTGGCCAAAAATTGCTAAGAGCTGAAGAATCTAGATTACTTTTCTTCAGAAGGGGTTTCACCATAGCAGTTTTTAGTGCAGTGGGGAAAGTGCCTGTGAACAGGGAGTGATTAACAATAGCTTGCACTTCTTCAGATATGCAATTAAATACATTTTTTAAGAAGGTGGTGGGGATAGGAGCGAGAAGGCAGGTAGAAGGCTTAAATTGTGATATCACTTTCCTGAGCATGTCTGTGTCAACCAGGGAAAATAAATCCATAGTGCCTTTGCGTGGTAGGCTAGGGAACGTATCATCAAACTTCTCATCAGGTCTTGCTTGACTGATACCCAATGTTTGTTATCTTATCTCTGAAATATGCCGCGACTCAACACATTTAGGTGTGGAGGAAAGTTCACATAGGTTTGCGGGGGTAGGATTTATCAGGCCATCAATGGTCAAGAACAGCACTCTCGAATTATTCTGATTAATAGTGATCAAGTTCGAAAAATTTGCCCGTCTGGCATTTCTAAATGCCTTGTTATATATGCCAAGTTGCTCTCTCAAAATATCATAATGGACCTGCAACTTTGACTTTCTCCACTTCCACTCTGCCTTTCTGCAATTTCTCTTTAATTGATTAGTGTCCTCACTCATCCAAGGGGCTCTCCGTTTGGATGTGGCCTTTTTCAACTTTTCAGGAGCTATGGCATCAATGGTTGCCCTTAATTTGCTATTAAAGTGATCAACTAAATCATCACAAGAGGAAGGCAGAATAGGTGGTGGAGTATTGTTCATACACTCAATAAAAAAGTAAGATAGTGTTTCTTAATCATGCGTTCAGCATTACTCTATGCTATGGGCAACATGGTGGTAAAAAGCACACAGTGGTGATCAGATAAAGCAACATCAACGATAGAGGATTTGTCAATAGAAAGCCCCTTGGTGATAATCAGGTCCAGAGTATGGCTGTGGTTATGGGTGGGCCCAATAACATGTTGGATAAAGTCCATAGAGCAAAATAAAAACATACATTCAATGGCCTTGGAGTCTGTCTCTTTGTCAACATGAATATTAAAATCGCCCAACACAATGATTTTATCATAGTTCTCAAGGACAATAGACAGTAGTTCAGATAAATCAGTAAAGAAAGTGGGGCATTGCTTTGGTGGCCTATACAGGGTTATGGCCAGCACTGGTGGATGACATTTGAACAGTTTAGCATGATGCTCAAAATACCTAAAGTCGCCAAACAAAATGTCCTTACAGCTGAGAGCATTAGTAAAAATAGAGGCTGTCCCCCCACCCTTTTTCCCTTTTCTGATAGAGTATGAAAATCTGTAGTCCGGGGGGAGGCTTCAATAAGAGCGGCACTACAGTCTGATGACAGCCATGTTTCAGTGAGAAAAATGCAATCAAATTTGCGCTAAGTAATTCACGAGAAAGGTTTTACTTGTAATTGCTCTAACATTTAAAAGCGCCATATTCAATGAGTGTGGACCACTCTGCCCCTGGGGCATCTGCCTCAAGGTAAAAGCAATAACAACCAAATTATTAACGTTACAACCATGTTTTCTGACAGTCTCCAATCTATCAGAATGGTAGGATATACATTTACATTTTAGTCATTTAGCAGACGCTCTTATCCAGAGCGACTTACATGATATGATAGTTTGTATAAACTCACTAGAAGGCGGAGTTCATGGAACATAAATTAGGTTACTCACAATAACCATAGTGCCATTTCTACAGGGGATGATATGCTTTCCAAGTCCTCTGTTGCTTATTCTTACAGGGAGAGCTGGAGCGCTACCAGACCCTGTCCGTCTGTCTCTAAAACAGTTTGCGATGTTGCTAGAAGTAATCCTGGAACCCCTGCGGTTAAGGTGAATCCCGTCTCTTTTAAAAAGTACTGGTTGCTCCCACAGCTCCACTCTAATTTTGAGGGGCGTTTCTTTAAAAATGTGCATCCAATCCCCTTGGTCCCTTACATAACTAGACCAATCATATGCTTCATTGTGCCACAGTTCACAGATGTATTGTTTTCAGTCCAGTTGATGCTCTTCGTCCTGTTTAATATTTTGTAAATATTATAAGTACTTTTGGCACCTATTTATAGCACCATATCCCAATCAAAAACAGTAAATAAACCCACTCGTATTCTGGCAAGGTAGCAGTTAAATCTTTATTATTAGGTCTGCAAAGAATTGGTTAATATAATAAAAATACATGTTTTTCTATTTTTTTAAGCATACAAAATCAAATAATATCACACTTTAATACTGTTTAATAGCAAATGATCTTATGTTTATAACATCCACACATTAAGCCATTCATTGCTACACAACAATCCCTTTCTATTGGTGGGACAGGGTCTTGGACCAGTCAAAATACTTAAACCAACGTCACATGACTTGGAGCATGTCTCCAGTACACATAGAGATGGATAGAGGGGCAGTCACAGAGACGACCAATGGCAAAAGATAGGAGGTGTGCCCTCTTTCCATCTCTATGAAACCACACTAGTCACCTAGAACCTTATTCTGAACAGTAACAGACTTAACATACAGTCCCCTGTAGCTCAGTTGGTAGAGCATGGCACTTGCAATGCCAGGGTTGTGGGTTCGTTTCCCACGGGGGGCCCAGTATGAAAATGTATGCACTCACTAAACTGTAAGTCGCTCTGGATAAGAGCGTCTGCTAAATGACGTAAATACAAAAAAAACTTTGGCACAATCTTTAAATGAAGGTTGAAATCTTATTTTTTCCTTAGAGGGTAGAGGGAGAGAAAAAAGTCATTTTTTAGTGCACGTTGAGAGAGAGGGTTCTACAGTAGTCCAACGAGGAGTGTAGCGATGCAGCGTAGCAGGGTGTGGTGGGGATCAGGGCTAGGAGTTCGTTGAAGTTCGTTCAAGGCACAGCTACTTTGAAGGGGCTGCCGGGGACACTGTCGTCGCCCCACTTGACGATAACGATGTAGTTTCCGTTGTCTTTGACAGTGTAGGTGACGTTGTACAGGCGGTTGCCCATGTGTTTGACGTACACCTCTTCACATGGGGTCGTGGGGCCGTGCACTCCCACCAGCAACATGTTAGAGCCTGGAGGACGGGAGAGATACAGGGTTAGAAATGTCATGGAAGGATTGTGTTAGTGTGTGTGTGGGGTGGGCTTGTGTGTGTGTGTGTGTGTGTGGGGTGGGATTGTGTGTGTGTGTGTGTGTGTGTACATTAATTCATGCCTGTGGTGTGTGTGTGTGGGCATCCTAGCCATCTCACCTGCTTTGCTGCAGTCTACATTGAAGATGTTCTTCTGCCCGACCAGAGCCTTGGAGAGCCCTGCGCCTCGACACACCACCTTGCTGGCATCTGAGGTCAGTTTGGATGAGGACGATGAGGAGCTGTACGCTCCGGCCACCTTGGAAGTCTTAGTGACCGTCTCTACCAGCACAGAGGACGTCTCATGAAGGCTATGACCACCGGACAGACGAGTACCTGAGAGAGGAGAGGTAGAGAGAGAGAGAGAGAGAGGAGAGAGAGAGAGAGAGAGACAGAGAGAGAGAGAGAGAGAGAGAGAGAGAGAGAGAGAGAGAGAGAGAGAGAGATAGAGAGAGAGAGAGAGAGAGAGAGAGAGAGAGACAGACATGTTATAAAAGAACTGCAGTCACGACTCAAACCAGACATTACATAACCTAACACCTCCCCTCCTCAATACCGACACAAACACTAGACAAAAACACCATGGATGGGGGTTTCTTATGAGAGGGTGGGACAGGATTCCCCATCTTCATACAGCTAGCTAAGAGTGCTAGTACTCTGTAACTTTACAACAACAATCTAGCTGCATTTTGCCAGTGTTTTTGAGAATTGATTAGCCTTCAGCATTGTAGTCCATGACTACTAATTCTACAATCCCGATGAGAGTAAACAGATTGATATAACATTTATTATTTATGTAACATTTCAGTATTTAGTATTAATTTACTAAGTATTTATAACAACATTTCTAGGAACTTCTAACTTTTCAGAGAGTGTCTCGTTTAGGGTAGCAAAGGAACCGGTAGTTTACCAAAGTTCTTGGAATATTCAGTCATTTTGGTAATTAACGCAAAATCGATGGCAATCTATCTGAACTTTGGTAATTTATACTTGAATAATAATTGTAAAAAAGATATTCATATAGTATTCATTTTTTATATCTCTGTCCATATTGTCCATGAGTTTCTAGTAGATAGACCATATGGTTCAAGAGAAAATAGCCTAATTAATGAAAAAAGCATCTAATCAACAATGGCATTATTTTCCAAACCTCTGAAACTATTCCAACTATGGACTTTTTTCACAACTGCCACCAGTTTGACACCAAAACATTGACAACAAATACATACTGACATAGTCAAATAAAAGTGTAAAAAAAATAATAATAATAGGATATTTCATGTTGAAACCCCTCATATTAAACACCAATGGTTTTCACTACGTTGATGGTTTATATTTAGGATACTGTTTTACAGCGGTTGTCATTAAATTTTAACTAGAAAATCATCTTATTGAACTATTTCCTATATTTTACATGCGATAAGGACAGAGATAATTACAGACACCTGTGATAATCTGAAGTACCCAAACGGGCCACTAGATGTCTTGTGATAGATTACATAAAATCCTTGAAAGATACCAAAATTCTGGCAGTTTACTGGTAAACTCAGAAAGATACCAGTAATATACCCTCCTATTGCAACCCTCGTCTCGTTTCATAACAAATACATAAAGCATCCTTTTCATCAAGATCTGGCATTCAAGCTACACATATCACACACATGCAAGTCGCACACGTTACACCACACACCTGTGACTTTGGCTTTGAAGGGGCTGCCCACTATGTGGTTGGGTCCTCCGTATTTGATGTTGATGAGATAGCTGCCGGGGGCCATGGGAGTGTAGATAACCTTGTAGCCATCGGGGCATTCAGAACAGTCCATCTTGACCTTAGAGGGGCCATCAATGGTCACAGACAGGGCACCTGACCCCGCGTTACACGTGTTCACTACGAACTCAGAGGCCACGCCTAGAGAGAGAGAGCGAGAGAGAGAGACAGATGGTCAGGAGACCCACCTCACATTCACAGTGCATGTACAGTATATATTGTGTTCCAGTTATCCTAGATGCCATCTCCTGCTGTTGTGCCTTTGACCAAGGCATTGACCAAGGCCACCCCACAGGATCCATCCTTCCTGTCTTCAAATGAGATCTCAGCCTAAACTGCACCATGGTTGATCCTGGCTTCCAACCCCCTTCTTATTCTAGTATACAACATCACCTTTCACAGTACAACATTTGTTGAAAGTCTGGGTTTCCTCTGTAAAGCTGGAGTGAGAAGAAGACAATGAGAAGAGATAAGGAGTGTGTACCTGTGGATCCTCCCTCCAGTCCAGGCCCGTATGCTGTCACCAAGCCTGGGTCTCCAGCCTGTCCTGCCTCCCCCACCCGCACGTTGAACGGGCTACCGGGGATGTGACTGCCGTTGAACTTGACGTCGATGGAGTGCACGCCGTTCTCACGTGGAATGAAGCGGATCGCGTTCTTGTCTGTGGATAATAGTGGAGTTATAAGAAGGAGAGAAGAGAAGAGAAGAGAAGAGAAGAGAGAAGAGAAGAGGATAGAGATTAGGAGGACTTCCGCTCTACGCTCGGACGCGTCCGTCCTCCTCTACTCTCCCTCTCCGCCCTCCTCTCCTAGCTCCTCTCTCTCCTCTCCTCGGCCTCCTTCTTCTCTTCTCTTCTTCTCTTCTCTCTCTTCCTTCTCGTCTCTTCTCTCTCCTCTTCCATCTCTCTCTTCTTGCTCTTCTCTCTCTCTTTCGGTGATACGGAGGCTCACCTCTCCCCTCCCTCTATTTGTATGGACTGGTATGTGTGTAAAGTTAGGGTTATCTTACCACTGTCCAGCTCGGTGACGTAACCTCCTCAGCTGAGCCAGAGGGGGTGTGGACCTTAGCACGACCACGCCCCTCGCCCGCTTACGCTGGAAGCGAAGACGCACCCCCTCCTGGTGAGGAGCGAGGGGTCGCCCCTGGCGGGAGGGGAAAAGAAAGGTTTTTCCCGTAACCTAAAACCCCTTTCCCCGGAAGGAGGGACGAGGTTGTCGGTAAAATTTGAAAGGGGGCTAAGGGGGGCCGTTAAGACCAGGAGGAAGCATGGATAAGAGAAGATAGAGGGAAGAGGAGAGAGAAGAGGGGGAGAATGGAGAATGAGAGGAGGGGCCCCTTGGGGGGAAGGGGGGGAAAAAGGGGCCCCCGGGGATGGGGAGAGGAGGGGGGGGGGAGGGTTTTGGGGGGGGGGGAAAAAAGGGGGGGGGGGGGGGGGCTTCCCTTTTTCCTTCGGTTTTTTTTTTTTTTTCTTCCTTCCCGGTGACGTGACACCCCCTACCCGGGGGTTCCCCCTCTTTTGCCCCGGGGCCGGTTGTTGACGGGTTTTTTCCCGTCCCCTGGGGGAGGAACACCCAAGGAGGAGGGGGGGGATGGAACGAAAAAGGGGCCCGGGAGGAGAAGGAAGAGAGAGATAGAGAGAGCAGAGAAGAGCGAAGAGCGGAGAAGATAGAGAGAGAGGAGAAGAGAGAAGAAACAGGGTCCAGGACCTGTAAGCTTTGTGTGTGTGTGTGTGTATGAGTGTATGAGTGTCTTGTGGATGAGACAGAATGTGTGTGTGAGACGGAACGTGTGTGTGTGAGACAGAACGTGTGTGTGAGACAGAATGTGTTGTAGGTGAGACAGAACGTGTTGTGTGTGAGACAGAACGTGTTGTGTGTGAGACAGAACGTGTGTGTGTGTGTCTTGTGCATGAGACAGAACGTGTGTGAGACAGAACGTGTTGTGTGTGTGAGACAGAATGTGTGTGTGTGTGTTTGTCTTGTGCATGAAACAAGAATAAGGAGATGAGGAGAGGGATATCTGAGGAGAGAGATATCTGAGAGAGATATCTGAGGAGAGGGATATCTGAGGATGAGAGTGTTTAAGAGGGAGGTGTTTATGTGTGTCCCTGTGGGGGATGATACCCCTGGCCAGTTGTCCGACCCTAGCAGACACCATGACCCCACCATGACCCCACTATTGGAGAAGGGACAGTTGATCCCTCTCATCCCCTCTCACTCACCACTAAACAACACAACAATGTTGCCTTGGTTACTGCTACAGCCCACTCGCCTCTGGCTTCACTTCTAAGGACAAATAAATCTATGGTATAAACCTGACCAACAAACAACTATTGTTATGCTAAATGTGTCTCTATTTCTCTATTGAGGCTTATATCAAATGTATTTATGTATAAATGTATGTAGTTTTGCATTTTATGACATGGGAAAGTTATGCTGCTTGAAAAGTTGATAAACTTGGTATCCCACTTAAGAGACAAGTATGAGAAAATGCCCTTTGAAAGATTTTGATGAGATTTTCACACTTCCTAGAGAGCTCTTCCTTGTTTATGTCCATTACAGCATCGTTCACACCCTCTTGAGCCTTAGCCCCACCCATCTGTTAAGCCTTAGCCCCTCCCACCCAGACATGGGAGTCAACATGGCATTGTCCTCCAGAAAGTACTCTGTCTACTTAAACACAGCTAAATTCAGGGAAGCAATGTTTTTGATTTTGAGCCGTAGCAACACTTTTGCAGTTGTCCAAAGCTATATTCTATCTTTTTTTATTTTATTATGTTTTTATTATTATTATTATTTTTTATTTTATTAATTTTTTGGGGGGGGAGATCAGCTTTAATATTGCAGATAGATTGTAACTTCCATCAATGTAATTCTCTGCATCACTTCCAATATGTTTTTTTTTTCTCTCGCAAATATATATATACATATACACATACATACAGATAAATACATATACATACATATATATACATATCCTTTAAAAATATATATATTCCCCTTTATTACTTTCCAACCCCACCACCCCTTCCCTAATTGGAGTAAACTAGTGAACAACAACGCTTAGGCCTCTACTTCCAGCTTACACATACTATATACATTTTATGGACACAGTCAATTTTACAATAATTATATTTAGTTTGTTTTTACTCCTGAACTTCCTCTACTCTCAACCTCTCAGATCATTTTCATGATGTCCATCTGGTTTGCTTCTATATGCAATGTCTTTCTAACTGTGCTCTTTCACAAAAGCTCCCAACCTACAACCTATATACTTATTAATATTATGGACGCAGTATGCTTACATTATTAGTTTAAAATGTATGCACGCATGACTGTAAGTCGCTTTGGATAAAAGCGTCTGCTAAATGGCATATTCATATTCATATTCATATTATTATTATTATAGTTATCTTGTTGTTATTAGTTGTTGTTAGTTGTTATTAGTCCCATCCTTCAACTCCATTCAACACCTCAACACCATTCAACACCTCCCATCTATCTCTTAACACCATCCATATTGGATTTCTATTTTCCATATATTTCTCAACTGTACTGTGATGTTTCACAAAAGTTCTGAACCTTTCTATTCTCATTGTTTCTACAGATTGTAAATTGAAAATAAAATTTTTTTGCTAAAAGTATTATTATATTATTGATCGATTGACTATGACTTTTCAGATCACCCAGTAATGCTATCTGCAGGGTTAGCTCCAGGTAAATATTGCAATCCTTCAGCCATTCCTGGACCTGTGACCAAAAACAAGCTACAAATGGACAGTACCAAAACAAATTATCTAATGATTCTGTCTCTTCGCAGCAGAATCTGCAGAGCTGGGAAGATTGTATCCTCCATATAAATAACATTTTAGCTATATTGTATCTTTCCAAAACTCTAAATACTGACCAGGGAAGTCCCCATTTTGTTATAGACAGAAGCCTGTGACATGACAGACCAATCAGGACTCATCTCATCTCATGTCCAACTCCTCCATTACCTCAGCCAATCATGACTAGTCAGGAAGGAACCTGTCTTTCTACCTATATAGCTCAGTGCTTTTTCTCCTTGGCTAAACTAGCCTCATAATTTATATTTTGTATTCATATTAACAGATCCCATACCAGTTTGTAATTAAGGCACATGAAAGTTCACATGTTAAAAAAGGCATTTCAGAAAATCGGCGCTACTGTGAAGTAGGAACTGGTGTCAAATGCCTCAGATCCTGTAGCCGGTCCCAAATGATGGCCTTGTGAGGAGTGTTCCAACAAAGACATGTAATTCAGTGTATTCCTCTGTGTGTGTGTGTGTGTGTGTGTGTGTGTGTGTGTGTGCGTGTGTGTGTGTGTGTGTGTGTGTGTTCCTACCTGCAGGCTGGTGACGGTGAGTCTGCGTGCCTCGTCAGACAGCGTTGCTATGGGAACGATGAAGGGGCTGTCGGGGATGTGCTCGTTGTTGAACTTGATAGACACTTCATAGTCACCTGGGGACACAAACAGAGAGGAACCAGGGGGTTAGATGATTCACATGTAAGAGTAGGGAAGAAGGAAGACATGGTGTAAATACCACAAAACAATATGTCAGTTCAGTACGATCAGATCAATAGCTGTCATTGTCTCTGCCATATATGACAGCTTCTCAGTTTCTCTGATATACTGTGGAAAATACTACCACCTTGCCTAGCCTACTAAAGTATGTAGATTTCTTAAGTTGCTAGTATGTTATGCTATTAGCTTTAGTGCTATGTAGCTTCTTAGTGCTATGTAGCTTCTTAGCGCTATGTAGGTTCTTAGCGCTATGTAGCTTCTTAGCGCAGCTACTGCCTAGCCTACTGTATATATTGTCCTATTGTTGATCCTTAGAGCTAGATGGGGCTAGATTGGGCTAGATGGGGTCGATGTGGCTTAGATGGGGTGATGGGTTAGATGGGCTAGATAGGGTTGATGGGGTATATGGGGCTAGATGGGGTTAGATGGGGTTAGATGGGGATAGATGGGGTTAGATGGGGTAGATGGGGTTAGTACTGGGGATAGATCGGGTTTTAGATGGGATCTATGGGATTAGATGTGTCTAGATTGGGTTAGATTGTGTGAGAAAGGGGGGGGTTAATGGGAAAAGGGAGAGGGGTAATGGGTTGAGGGGATTTGGGGATTGATGGGGTAGGGGGGGGTTTAGTAAGGGCGGGATGGGGAAGAGGGGTTGGGGGAATTTTGGGAAGTGGGGCTGATGGGGTTAAATGGGGGTGAATGGGGGTTAATGGGGAGATGGGGTTTTAGATGGGGTTTGGGGGTTAATGGGGGCAGGGGGGTAATGGGGAAGTTTTGGGGTAAGGGGGTTAGTTTTGGAAGATGGGTTGTGGGTATTGGGGTTTTTAGTGGGGTTGTTTTGGAAATTTGGAGGGGGAATGGGGGAGATGGGTGGGGGGTTAGAGGGGGCGAGATGGGGTACTCTATCTCCGGTCCTGAAAAGTAGGCCCCCCCACAGGACACCCCCTTTTCAAAAGATTTCAGCCACGGGTCCCCCTAAAAGCGATGGAAATTTCCTGAGTAGGGGGGAGATAAAAAAGGGAGGGGAGAAAAGAAGAGAGAGAGAAAGAGAGAAGAGAGAGAGAGAGGAGAGAAGAGAGAGAGAGAGGACAGAGAGAGAGACGAGAGAGAGAGAGAGAGAGAGAGAGAGAGAGAGAGAGAGAAAGAGGAGATACAGATAGACAGATAGAGAGAAGATAGATAGAGAGAGATATAGATACAAGAGGACCAGAAGAGATAGAATATATTATAGAAGAAACAGATAATACAATAGTATAATAATAGCTATAAATAACATAGAGATATAGAGAGATAGAGAGAATCAACACACAGACGTAAAGTTGTTCACTAAAGTAATAAACACGTTCAACTAATGCAAGTTTTTTAAAAAATCACTTATTGAAAGTTAAACATTCTTCAAAATAGTCGCTATCTGCAAAATGAGTGTTGTTAAGAGTAAAGTAAAAGACAAGTACATCAATTAACAGGGTTATTTTTCAGCGAGACACATGCGGTCAGGTCAAACTACTTACCTGGTTCTCCTGCCACTCCTCTCTCCAGCCCAGAGCCTCCGGACCGGACCCTGTGGGACCCTCCTTCTCCCATGGGCCCCACAGTGAACTGGAAGGGGCTTCCGGGGACATGCTGCCCGCTGTACTTCACGTTGACCGTGTGGGACCCCATCTCCTGGGGTACGAAGCGGACGCTGTAGGTGCTGTCCCCTCCATCTACGATCTCTGCCTGTTCTGTTTTACCCCCGGGGCTGGTCACCTGGGCCGTCATACTACCTGGGGTAACTGTCTCACCTGGAGGAGAGGGGAGGGAGGAGGGGAGGGAGGAGGGGAGGGAGGAGGGGAGGAGTCAGACAGGCTGGGAGGCGTGTTGCTTTTCATCTACAATCCTATATTTCTACTCTTATCCGGAGAGACTTACATTCCATGCATTCAACTAAAGTAAGTAAAACAAACCTTCTAGAAACGAGCTGCTACTGTACCAAATCAGTGCTGTTGAGACTAAAGGAAGAACAAGTGCAACAGGGCCAAGTGTAAGTCGTATTATTCCTTCATTCATTCTCACCAGGTGTTGGTGTGGCTGTAGCAGGTATCCCAGCGAAGCTAGCCAGACTCTCTCTGCCCAGGAAGTCTCCAAATACATCTCTGAAGGGACTGCCTCCTCCTGCTCCTCCCATCTGGGTGCTCTCCTCTACCCTCACCTCCCTCTTCGTCTCTCCGCCCCGCATCTTGCTGATCTCTGTGCGCTCCGTGCGCGTGTACGTGTGGCTGCTGCATGTGAACGTGCGAGTCATTCTCTCCTGGGCTGACACCATCTGGAACCAGTTTCCTATTGGTGGAGAGAGAGCATGGAGGGTTAGTGTTTGGTTAGTCTTAGACGCAAGCAGTACTTGAAGACTCACGCTAGCTAGCTTAGCTTTTAAGCTAGCTAACGCATAGCTGTATGAAAGTTGATAGAGAGTCGATTGATAGGATTAAGAACCACCATTGCTGTCATTCTATAGATGATATCAACACAGCAATGTGGGGTACTTCAGCACCATGACAGGAAGGACCATGACAGGACCATGACAGCACCATGACAGGACCATGACAGCACCATGACAGGACCATGACAGGACCATGACAGGACCATGACAGGACCATGACAGCACCATGACAGCACCATGACAGGACCATGACAGGACCATGACAGGACCATGACAGGACCATGACAGGACCATGACAGGACCATGACAGGACCATGACAGGAAAGACCATGACAGGACCATGACAGCACCATGACAGGACCATGACAGGACCATGACAGCACCATGACAGGACCATGACAGGACCATGACAGGACCATGACAGCACCATGACAGCACCATGACAGGACCATGACAGGACCATGACAGCACCATGACAGGACCATGACAGGACCATGACAGACCATGACAGGACCATGACAGCACCATGACAGGACCATGACAGCACCATGACAGACCATGACAGGACCATGACAGGACCATGACAGACCATGACAGCACCATGACAGGACCATGACAGGACCATGACAGCCCCCATGACAGGACCATGACGGACCATGACAGCACCATGACAGGACCATGACAGGACCATGACAGGACCATGACAGGACCATGACAGGACCATGACAGGACCATGACAGGACCATGACAGGACCATTACAGTAATATCACACTGTGATCATGTTTAGGCTGTGCTCACCAGGGATTTTGAGGTTGAGGCCACAGGCGCTGCCAACAGAGGCGATGGAGGGGGCAGTTCTCTTCCTGGTGATGCTCTCCTTCATCCTTCCTTCTCCTGTCACCTTCACTGTGAAAGGACTTCCTGTAGGGGCAGAGGAGCAGCCAATCAGAGGTAGGCTTGGGCAATATACAGTTTTGTGCGTTAAAAAAATTAGCGGCCCTTGTGTGCACTTCCGGTAATACTGTATACCCCGGTACGGTACAGAAACAGTATGACAGTATGAACATCTGGATACGGCCCAACCCTATCAGGGAATACCAGCAACAGCCAATCAGAGAGGTCAGGGAGTAGTGTATCAGCCAATGAGAGAGGTGTGAAACTGGAATAGCCCTCTCAATCATGCAGAAAAAAATCACAGGTAACAGTGACTGACAATGTTGTTCTATAATGAAATACAACCTCACCTAAACCAAGTTCATTTGCTGATTTTACACATTTTGATACAGTCATATTTCCATATATAGAAAACTGAAGTACAGTAAAGCCACTAACCAGGGATGTGCTTGTCAGAGAACTTGATGTTGATGATGTAGTTGCCTGGCTCTGTGGGGCAGTAACTGACTCTGCACGTCCCATCCTCCACATCCTCACAGTTAATATCCACTTTACTCGGACCCTCCACAGACAACCCCAGACCACCATAACCTGAGAGAAAGAGGGGAGAGAAAGGGGGAGGGAGGGGTGGGGTGGGAGACGAGAGAGGAGAGAGAGATGGGAGGGAAGGGAAGGGGAGTGTGGGTGGTGGTGGATCGAGGAAGAGAGATCTGGAGTAGCGGCTCTATATTAGAGCGGAGAGACGTCGTTAGGATGAGGAGAGAGAGAGCGAAGATCTGGGACAGAGAGTAAGGCGGTAGGCAGGAGAAAGAGCATTTTATCTGTGGACAAACTTGGCTACTATGAGTAGAATAAGCCCTCAAGGTGGGCTAAAAGACATCCACATAAACAATGTTCCTAGTCTTACCGGCATTCCTAGTGTCCACAAAGAACTCAGCCATTTCAAATGTGTGGGCCTCCACCAGTCCTTTACCGAAGGCCTTGACCCGGCTGGCCTCGCCAATCTCTGACTGGCCAACCTGGATCTTGAAGGGGCTGTTGGTCACGTGCTTACCGCTCTTCTTCACGCTCACCTCGTGCTCTCCCACCTCCTTAGGGGTGAAGGAGATACCTGCAGACGGAGGGATGGAAGAGAGGAGTGAATCATCTGGGAAAAATCCAAACAAAACAACTAGGCACAAAACAAGATGGCCAGACCGAACTAGTGACGTGAAAACGGAACAATGCAGCATGCATCCAGGCTACTTCAGAGTACACTCAGGAAACCAAAGCATGTATTCTACACCAATGGCCCAAACATCTTTGTACATCCCCAGGCTCGGCTAGTGGCTCACCGATGTGTCTGTTGGGCAGTCTCTTGAGCAGACAGGGCTCCTCGTTGCCGGATGGAGCTCTGATGCTAGCCGTCAGCAGGCTCAGGTCAGACTCTGTGATCTTCAGTGACAGATCTGCTGCTGTCCCCACGTTGAGCAGGGACGTCCTGATAGAGTCATCACCTGGACAATAAAACATTTAGTAAACCATTAACCTAACATTTACTGACCATTACAAACCATATAATACACCATTTACTAAGCATTTATTAACCATTTAAAAATGGCGATCAACCACTGTGCTCTGAATGTTAGAAATTGTATTTGGATGAATTTACATTATCCTATGATCTGTCAAATTCTAAGAGGTAATATGAGTCACTTCTCTAACCAATTACCAACATTGTGTCCAGTTATTTCTATACACTTTATTCCACTCACCAGTGATCTTAGCAGTGAAGGGACTGCCAGGGATGTGTTTGTTGTCAAACTTGACGATGATGTTGTAGTCTCCTGGTGAGGTGGGCAGGTAGGACACAGTACAGGTACCATCCTTATTATCCTTACAGGTGATCTCTGCCTTAGAGGGACCCTCCACAGCCAGGGACAGACCACCTGGGAGGGAGAGAGAGAGCAGGAGGGGTTAGCTTCTGTTCAGCCTGAATTCTACATTTGCCTCTAACAATTCAAACCTATTCCTCAGCCATGAAAAGTATTTTTAGAGTTGAAGTACACCGTTTTTTCTTTCTCCAGAAAATGTAACATTTTTAGAGGGGTTTTACTGAACTGTCTAAACCAAATATAATGGACAAAATGTTCTCGTATTATTGTGAATATAGAAGATCATCATTGTAGAACAGCAAGAAAAAGTAGTACCTTCTCCAGCATTCTTGGTGACGACGGTAAAGGTGGCGGGTTTGTTGACGATGCCGTGACACAGTCCAGGTCCGTATGCTGTCACCAGACCACTGTTTAAAGCATCTACATAGAACTGGAGGGGACTTCCTGTAGGGGAGAGAGATCATGGAGGGATGGGCCATCAGAAAATAGTTTGTTCAATGTTCATCAATGTTTATTTAAAATGTATATATGTAAATATGCCTGTTGATACACCTGAGGTAAAAAAAAAGATATACCAAAAATAAAATAAGAAAGTCTCTTAATTGAGCATAACTGCATACATTGAGCCCTGGTTTAGTTTGAAGACAGGCTAACACAATGTGTTTTCCCCACTGGTTATGACAGACACAGTCGTACCTGGGATGTGGTTTCCTTCATACTTGATGTCCATCTCATGCAGACCCTTCTCAGTAGGGTTGAACTTGACTGTGATGGTCCCATCCTTGTTGTCTGTGATGTGGGGACGGGCCGTCTTACCGGAGGGCATACGCACCTCACCTGGGAAAGATACAGGTAGCTTAGTGGTTAAGAGCGTTGTGCCAGTAACCGAAAGGTCGCTGGTTCTAATCCCCGAGCCGACTAGGTGAAAAATCTGTCGATGTGCCCTTGAGCAAGGCACTTAACCCTAATTGCTCTGGATAAGAGCGTCTGCTAAATGACTTAAATAAAAATAATACAAATTATATTTCATGAGTGTGTGTGTGTAGTGTAGCAGTGAGTCAATGTATTGCCCTTTTAACACGATCATGCTGACCCGGACCATACTATGCTGGCTGAGATATTTCCTTTCACACTGTTCTTTACAGCATGGTTCAGTTGAGCTCAGTAGTGTGAAAAGGGTTTATCTGTGTTCTACTGATTTATGTGTGTGTGTGTGTGTGTGTGTGTGCTATTGATTGTCAGTACAGAATAAAGTCCCTGTACCTGTGATCGGTCCCTGCTGAACGGTGAATGGGATGACCAGGTTGAGAGGCCGGAACTGATCCATGCCGTCGCTAGGGACAACAGGCTCCTTGGTGGCCTATTGGGAGAAAAAGAGAAATACAGTCATCATACTGAATCTACTGTAAGTAGCTACTGTATATCTAGCTGAAGCTGCGTACGTTCAACTATTTTACAGTAACTACATGAAATGGGAAATGATTTGATTCATTATTGTCCTGTATTTAATTATGTTATCTACTGTTGTATTGATTATTAATGATATGTAAAAAAGCTATTTGTATGAGCAGGGAGATGCTGACAGGGGCCTGGGAGGGGAAACCAGAGATAACCATGTTAACTCCATGCTAACATCACATTAATGCCATGTTTGGGGAAGTCACTTTCACCCGTTAGTCTATAATGATCTGTTGTAACTGACTAATGATGACTATAAGGATCTGTTGTAACTGACTAATGATGACTATAACGATCTGTTGTAACTGACTAATGATGACTATAACGATCTGTTGTAACTGACTAATGATGACTATAACGATCTGTTGTAACTGACTAATGATGACTATAACGATCTGTTGTAACTGACTAATGATGACTATAACGATCTGTTGTAACTGACTAATGATGACTATAACGATCTGTTGTAACTGACTAATGATGACTATAACGATCTGTTGTAACTGACTAATGATGACTATAACGATCTGTTGTAACTGACTAATGATGACTATAAGGATCTGTTGTAACTGACTAAACAGACCTTTGACCTGTTTAAGTGCTGATGTTATACTTGGCTAAGGTCACTGCCTAATAGAGGATATAAGGGTCTTCTCTGAGGAGGCCTGTTACAACATTACCTCTCTATGCTGGATGTGTCTCCTTGTTGCAACTTGTTTTATGATTGACTATCGTCTCTTTTTTTCACCTGAAAATCCCCTTTCCACTAAAACTTCAATGCAATGTGTAGACTGCAGGGTGGACTCAATTCAGCTGCATTCATCCACTTCAAATAGAACCAACCCTAACCCTGGTAGATAGTTATGTACCAGCACTCATGTATTAGTGATTATATCAAGCTATATCCATTCAACATACAAATCTAACTTCAATGCCATGTTAACAGTAGTCCTCACCGTTACATGGAAGGGGCTCTTGGGGATGTGTTGTCCTCCGAAGCGGATGGTGATGACGTATTTCCCAGGTTCCGGAGCCGTGTAGTAGATGTCGTAGGTTCCGTCACGATTCTCCTGCACGTCCATGTCTAGCTCCACCCCCGCTGGGGTCGTCACCGAACAGGTCACCTTGCCCTTTCCTGCAGCCTTTGCGTCAACGGAGACGACGGTCTCCTCGTGCACCTGCATCTTGGTCAGACCTGACGCCAGGGCACGGCCTCCTATAGCCACTGGGAAGTAAAGACAGAGAAAGGATCACACGACTGGAAAAACATCTCAGATTTGGCATCATCGTCTAGCGAAGAGAGGACTAGACGTACCAGTAAGCAGACACTTGCTGGCGTCTCCAGTGGGCAGAGCTGAGATGCGGTAGGGGGAGTAGGGGATCTCATCTCCTCCATACTTGATGGTGATGGTGTAGGGGCCGGTGGAGTCTGGTACGTAGGACACTGTGTATGTCCCATCCCTGTTGTCATGGATAGTGGCCTTCTTTGGCTTGCCCTCAGGATCCTAGACAGGGAAGAAGATGTCATATTAGTATTGTTATTTAGCAGAACCTTTTATATAACCAAAGCGGATTACAGAACTGTCAACATTGACAGATATATTCAGTATTATGTGGCCCATGCGGGAGTCGAACCCACAACCCTGATGATGCCATTGTCTAACCTACTGAGCCATTAAAAACAGCTCTACACTCTTAGAAAAAAGGCTTCCAAAAGGGTTCTTTGGCTGTCCCCATAGGAGAACCCTTTTTGGTTCCAGGTAGAAAAAAAAAGGGTTCTTCAAAGGCTTCTCCTATGTGGAAAGCCGAAGAACCCTTTTAGGTTCTAGATATTGTATTTCCTGTGTGTGGAGGAAGTTGTTGTACTCACCAGTATCTGTACAGTGAGCAGTCCCTCTCCTGCGTCGCGGGCATCGATGGTGAACTCCACTGGCAGGCTGGCGGCCACACCTGACTTATCCAGACCTGGACCGCTGGCACGCACCTTACTGGCATCATGACCAGGCTGGGACCTCACCTTGAATGGACTGTGGATGGAGAGAGAGAAGAGAGAGAGAGAGAGAGAGAGAGAGAGAGAGAGAGAGAGAGAGAGAGAGAGAGAGAGAGAGAGAGAGAGAGAGAGAGAGAGAGAGAGATAAATAAAAAAAATACAATATTATGTCATGATCCTATTGAAAATGTATGACATTTCTACAGAAAAGTAAATATGTGTATTACAGGGTTTTAAAGTGTTTCTGTTGAATCCAGTGGCCAGTCTGTCTCACCTGCGAGGTACCTCCTGATCTCCGTATTTGACAGACACAGTGTAAGGTCCGTCCTGAGCTGGGGTGTAGTTGACTGTGTGTGTACCATCACCATTGTTCTTCACAGCTACAGGCTCAGCAGAACCTATGGACAAGAAATTACATTCAAATAAGTGTGTGTGTATGAAAATATGTGTGTGTATGTGTTTGTGGGGGTGTGGGGGGGGGGGGGGTGTTTGTGTGTGAATACTTTATTGCAAATGGACAATAAAGTACTGTATTGTTTCTGCGTGTGTGCTCTCACCTGATGGTCCTGTTAGCTGTACTTCCACTTTTGCCTTTCCAGCCTGGGTAGCGTCCACTGTAAAGGCCTGAGGTATGTGGGCTCTGACTCCATCACCCAACCCAGGACCTGAACACTTCACCCTGCTGGGGTCCACCACGTCCTTCACTGGCACACGGAACGGACTGCCTGCAGGGACACAGACAGAGACACCGTACGGTCAGCTTTTACAGTGGGAGGAGAGAGAGAGAGAGATGTACCATGATGATTCTGCTTCTAGCAACCCTCCGGTCAAACCCCAACAGATCTTTTCCCCATCGGACCTGGGATTTGAACCGATGACCTTCCGATTGCTGGCCCACCTCTGTAACCTCTAGCCTACCCACCACCCAGTGTGTGTGTGTGTGTGTGTGTGTGTGTGTGTGTGTGTGTGTGTGTGTGTGTGTGTGTGTGTGTGTGTGTGTGTGTGTGTGTGTGTGTGTGTGTGTGTGTGTGTGTGTGTGTGTGTGTGTGTGTGTGTGTGTGTGTGTGTGTGTGTGTGTGTGTGTGTGTGTGTGTGTGTGTGTGTATGACACATTACCTGGAATGGGGTGTCCTCCGAAGTTGATGTTGACGTCGTACTCTCCAGGTGTGAAGGGAACGTACTCTACGCTGCAGCTGCCATCTTTGTTGTCTTTACAGGTCATCTTAGCCTCAGATGCTCCCTCGATGGTTAGACCCAGGCCTCCAGTACCAGCACCCCTAGAGAACACACACATCACATTTCACATCTGTTACACTGCTTTCAAAGGAAAGGTGCTGTTATAAAGGCTGTCTTACTATTGGAGGAATTGGAGGAGTTATTTAACCAACAAGGCCCGAGGGGGGTGTGGTATATGGCCTAAGGGCTGTTCCTCCGCACGACGCAACGCGGAGTGCCTGTACACAGCCCTTAGCCGTGGTATATTGGCCATATATCACAAACCCCAGAGGTGCCTTGTTGCTATTATAAACTGTTTACCAACATAATTAGTGCAGTAAAAATAAGTGTTTTGTCATACCCATGGTATACGGTCTGATATACCACGGCTTTCAGCCAATCAGCATTCAGGGCTCGAACCACCCAGTTTATAATTATATTTACATTTTAGTCATTTAGCAGACGAATAACAATCAGTGCAGTTAAACTGAAGTGGGTAAAACAACACAAATTAATACGACGATCATGATCATGATCAACAAGTACAACAGTTAAATGTTTTACGATTTTCTATTGGATTTGTGAGTGATTAGGGCTGTGGTCCCATTGTGTTGTATTATATTGTACCTGGTCTCGACGGTGAAGCAGTTGGGTTTGTTGATGAGTCCTCCCTCCAGACCCGGTCCATAGGCCCTGACCCGGGTGGGGTCACAGCCCTCCACTACAGACACCCTGAACGGACTCTTAGGGACCGCCACATCATCATACAACACCTCAATCAGGTGCATACCTGGAACAGACCACAGAGAGGATTTCAGTATCTCACTGTGTTTTATTCTGATTGTGTGCTCTTAGTATAGACAGATACACAGGATTTCAGATGATTTTATGGCAGAGATACATGATTTTGTATGACGGCCAAGCTTGTTTTACTGTGCAAGGCAATGAAGTTATATCTATCTAAGATGCTTTTCAGCACCCTTCTGATATGAGTGAACCTTCCTTCCTAACATTCGTTCAGATGATGAATGAGACTTGGGGGTATGGTAACATGATAATCATCTTGACTACACAACAAGAACATTTCTGTTGATCATTCGTCATACCGTAACACCATTTACTTGACACAACTCTCTCAGTGTATCTCTGATTCCCTGGGGCCAGTGCTGTAATATTACACCAGAACGGTTCTGTGATCTCAGAGTCAGAGAGCTTTGTGTGCAGGGCTTCTTCTATTAATACCTCCAGCTAGCCATTACCCCATTACCCCTGTATCTGAGAGGAACAGAGTAGACAAACTGCAGACAAACTTAACTCTATTTATAAAGCCCCTCTGTCTCTCTGTCGCTCTCTCTCTCTTTCTCTCTGCTCTCTCGCTCTCTCTCTCGCTCTGTCTCTACTCTCTCTCTCTCTCCTTCTCTGCTCTCTCTCTCTGCTCTCTCTCTCTCTCTCTGCTCTCTCTCCCTGTCTCTCTCTCTGCTCTCTCTCCCTGTCTCTCTCTCTGCTCTCTCTCTCTCTCTCTCTCTCTCTCTGCTCTCTCTCTCTCTCTCTCTCTCTCACTCTCTCTCTCTCTCTCTCTCTCTCTCTCTCCCTGTCTCTCTCTCTCTCTCTCTCTCTCTCCTTCTCTGCTCTCTCTCTCTCCCTCTCTCTCTGCTCTCTCTCTCTGCTCTCTCTCTCTCTCTGCTCTCTCTCTCTGTCTCTCTCTCTCTCTCTGTCTCTCTCTCTGCTCTCTCTCTCTCTCTCTGTCTCTCTCTCTCTCTCTGTCTCTCTCTCTGCTCTCTCTCTCTCTCTCTCTCTCTCTCTCTCTCTGTCTCTCTCTCTGCTCTCTCTCTCTCTCTCTCTCTCCCTGTCTCTCTCTCTTTCTCACCCTCACCCAGATCACTTCTCCTCTGCCTCATTCAGTATTTATACCGTTCTCTCTCTATCTAGTCCCAAATGGATCCTCCAACACCTGCTGGGTGTGTCAACTAAAACCCTCTATTCCATCTTCAGCGACTTCCTCTAAGGTTTGTATAGCTACATGTCCCCTATTGGAGTGAAATGAGTTGGAATCCTTTCTCTCTCTGCTCTAGAATCCATTCACTAACATTATCAACAATGTTGAAATGACTGGAATAAAACAACAACAACAAGCAGGTTAATAGTGGTGGTTCTTTCTTACCGTCATCGAAGGCGGTGTACTCCACTCTGTAGGTTCCGTCTCCCTTGTCTGTGATGTAGGCGTCCGTGTTGGTGCCTGAAGGGTTGATGATGCGTACTTTCACGTGGTCACCGCCGCTCTTGGTCGTTTTACGGGCGTCCACGATGAAGTGGGTGGTGACCTCCTTGAGGACTCCTATAAACACGGATGACCGTAGGGAGAATGGTTAGTTACTGTAATTGTTAGCATGTAGTAGCCTTTGCCAGTGAATTTTAGTAGCCTTAGCTATAATGGCCTTGGCTATAGCAGCCTTTAGCAGTGAGCAATAGTAACCTTAGCCTTAGCTATAATGGCCTTTACCAGTAAGCTATAGTACCTTTAGCCTTTAGCTATAGTATACTACAGGGGCCTTCTCTTGCCCAGGGACCCACTTCTCTTGCCCCGGGACCCCCTCCCAGGCAAACCGGCAACCCAGGGACCCCCATACATGTTAGCAAAGAAATGTAAAAATAACGTATTGTCTTATCATCAGGTGAATGATAATGGCAAGAAGTAATTAACATTTTAAATTGAATAGATTTGGTAGATATTTCTAAACTTTCTATTGACCTCCCCACATTATAATTGGAAGAGGACGTGTAAACTCTAACTCACATTTTCACTAAGAGCAGCTGTTTAGCTGTTCGCCATAGTAGCCATTATCTGTAGTAGCCTTTAGCTATAGTTATAGTAGTCTCTGCCATAAACTACTGTAATATGCATCTAGAGATGAACCACTCCATCCCTACTCCCTCCTCCTTACCTCTGGGCTCCACCCCTGGTCCATAGACCTGCAGTCCGCTGGTGTCCACAGCCGGCTCCACCTGGATGACCGCGGGGAACTTGGGTACAACATGGCCCCCGTACTTGATGGTAATGGTGTGCGTGCCGTGGAAGGATGGGATGTAGGTGACAGAGAAGGTCCCATCTGCCGTCTTCTGGATGTGGACCTCGGCCTGAGCCCCGGACTCAGAGACGATCTCAATGGTGAGCTCAGCCTCTCCAGCACTGGTGCAGTCCACTGTGAAGTAGGCTGGTTCCCCTGCCTTGGCCTTCTCCAGGCCTGGCCCACTGGCTGTTACCTGTAGGGTTAGGTTTGGTTTAGGTTTAGGTTCAGGCTTAGGTTTATGTCTGGGTTTAGGTTCAGGTTCAGGTTTAAGTTAAGTTTTATTTGAACATCTTTGTACTTATGCAGAAACACACATACTATCTCAAATTTGATGTCCTACAATACTTTTTGTATTTTTATATGAAGATATAAAGGATTTAATAATGCCTAAATACATGGACAGTGTATCTGTAAACCGTACAACAACAAATAGGCATATCAATAAATCAACAACTAGGCATATTGGAGGCGTACCTTGCTGGGGTCCAGACATGGCTTCACAGCCGCCTTGAAGGGAGACCCAGGGATGTGCTGCTCTCCAAACAGGATGTTGATGGCGTACTCTCCAGCCTCAGTGGGCAGGTAGGACACTGAGCAGGTTCCGTCTCCGTTGTCCTGGCACTCGATCTTAGCCTCGCACGGCCCCTCCACGGTCAGGCCCAGCCCGCCGGCGCCCGCTCCTTTGGTGTCGATGGCGAATGGAGCTGGTTTGCCCACAATGCCTCCCTTCAGGCCTGGGCCATAAGCACGCACCTGAGGGAGAGTGGAATTGGAAATTAGTGAGCCTCATAATGTTAGGACCGCTGGACTGCTAAGCTTCAGTATAGCCGTCTGGTTGTATGCTCATGTACTGCTTATGACTGTGTTATGCATGGGTTATTCATGTTTTATGAAGTTCTTATGTAGGTACCCTTCAAATGAAGTGTTACCCACTCAGTCAAAGTAATACTGATGATTTTATAGACTATTTTACCTTTGAGGGGTCAGCAGGCATCACTCCCTCCACTGCGAAGGGGGATCCAGGGACGGGGTTCCCATCGTAGCTGACGTCCACCTTGTAAGGCCCCTCCTCTGGGGGGATGTACTTCACAGAGTGGGCGCCATTGGCTGTGTCTGACTCCAGCTTGCAGGGGATTGGTCGGCCGGAGGGTGAGGTCATCTTGACGGCTACCTCGCCCTGCCCACCAGCTCCCTGGGTGTTGATGGAGAACTCCTGGTCCTTGCCCACCTCTACTTCTATAAGACACCACCACACGGACAAATTTAAATCAACCGCCAAACCACCACATGGACACATTTAAATCAACCGCCAACAACAAAACATAGACACGTTTACAGCTGTCCAGTCTCAGACAAGGCAATCAAAAATGTACTTAATTTATGTTAAATATTCACAATTTACTCCTCCAGGCAGTCATTGATGAGAAGACAACCAAAGCAGAGCTGAATTCAATTTATATTGTGTACAAAGTTTAGAACTTACTGGTGTCCAGTCCTGTAACCTTGACCTTTCCCAGATCTACAGGAGGAGCCACAGTAATATTGAAGGGGCTCTTGGGAATGGGGTCCCCTCCATGGGTGACGGATATGGTCATCTGGCCCTGTCGAACGGCGGTGTACTTGACGGTGTAGGAGTAGTCATGGTTGTCGATGATCTCAAAGTCCCTCACAGCCTCCCCCTTCAGGCCTGCTGCTGTGAACTGGACCTCAGGCTTGGCCTTGCCTGCTCCCTTGGTGAAGATGGTGAAGTGGGTCGGAGTACCCACCTCCACGCCTGTCTTGTTGAGTCCTGGGCCCTCAGCCCTCACTTTTCCAGCATCATGGGAAGGATCAACCTTCACTCTGAATGGACTGATGGGGATTTCCTGGAACACAAACATGGAATAGTTTTGTTGCTGTACACTTTTTAATAAAAACTCTGACACAGATCTAACTTTTGTGCCATTAGGGTCATCCTTAGAAGTAGAAGTTAGAAGAAGAAGTATTATTATAGCTGTAATGCTAAGCCACATATTAACAGTAACCCTCAACTGAAGGACTCTGGGTAATGTAGTTTTACCTGCTCAGCGAACAGCACCATGATGGTGTATTTCCCTGCGCCAGGGGGAGTGTACTTGACAGTGAAGGTGTCATTGTCGTTCTTGATGATGTCAAAGTCGATGTCAGCTTCAGCTGGACCCACTACTCCTGGAGCGCACTTGATCCCAATGCTGATATCTCCTGTGGGAGGTCAATGGATAAACATTAATGTTATATCTACATATGAAGAAATCTCATAATACTGCGCCTATCAGTATCAATACCTTTCTGACCTTCTACAGCTGCAGGCACTAAAGTTAGGTTGGTATTAGCAAGAACAAGTGCAAGACAATGGTCAACTGCCTTCTCTATGGAAGAAAGGGTTTTAAAGGAGTTCTAAAAGGGTGAAAAGGTTCTACCTGGAACCCTAAAGGGTTATTCTACAGGAACAAGCCTTTTCAGTAGTATTTCCTATTCACACAAACGTACCTTGTCCAGCCTCGGCACAGTCCACAGTGAAGTAGGTGGGCTCGTTGGCCTTGAGTCCTGTCTTCTCCACTCCTGGACCATACACCTTGACCTTGGCTGGGTGGCAGCCCTCTCCAACTATCACCTATACACACAGACACAGTACTTGACCCACAGCACTATGGCTGCTACCTAAAGTACTCACATCCATTTCTAGTGGAGTGTGATCTTGCCAAAGGAAGAGTAGAGTGGCTGAGCTTATGTAACGGCCTTGTCTGTCTGAGACGTCCCTGACCTAATGCCTAGGCTTTAAGTCAGCAGGCTAATGACGTCTGGTAATGCACAGGAGATCTGGGTTCGAAGCCCAGTGGGTCGGTCCTACTCACCCTGAAGGGGCTGTTGGGCACGTTGACGTCTCCCCAGGTGATGATGATGGTGTGTTTGATGGGCTTGATGGGGACGTACACACACAGGAAGGTGCCGTCTCCCTTATCACTGATCTTAATGTCGATGGTCACGCCCTCCGTATCCTGGGCGTAGATCTTGAGGTGGCCGTTGCCAGCCTCGCGGGCATCGATGGTGAACTCTGCCGGTTTGTTTACAATGACCCCAGTGGGCTCCAGACCTGGACCGAAAGCTTTCACCTGCAGAGGAGAAATGTATTTAGGTGTTTATTATGTTAGTTTATTTGTTAGTTTGTGTATTTGTTGTATTTACACATCAGTGTGTTTTCGTGTTTTATAAAGACTACTACTCCTGTAGGGCGGAGCTAGCTGGAGTGGTGGGCAGAGCTAACCTTCTCAGGGAAGCAGTCATTGGCTGCAGGCAGGATGTGGGCCATGAAGGGGCTGTCCTTGATGTCTTCGTCATCACAGATGACATGGACGGCGTAGTCACCTGGCTCAGTGGGCCAATAGCGGACATCGCAGGAGCCGTCACCCTTATCGTCACATTCTATCTTAGCCTGGGACGGACCCTCAATAGAGAAACCTGGAGAGAGGAGGGCATATGAAGAACTTTAGACTTTAGTCTCCTAATCACTCAAGAGGCATCCAGTTAATGTCCCCTTTCACACCTGTAAGAATACCAAGCGAACCTGTGGCTCTAAAGAACAAGTCATGTGCCTAATCCATTACTCTACTGGTTCAACTACATTACCCATAATTCCCCAGGGCCCTCATGTCCTGACTTACCCAGAGTTCCTACTTCGGTGCCGATGGCCTCGACCACGAAGTCAGCTGACTTGCCCACCTGGCCGGTCACCAGGCCGGGGCCCCAAGCTCTCACCTTCTGAGGGCCAGCCTCCTCACTCACCTCCACCTCAAAGGGACTGAGGGAGACACACACACATTTTAATGAAGATAAACCCGTAGTATACACCCCATTTACATTTAGCAAACAATCTTACCCTGATCCAGATCAGTGCTAAGGTAGGTAAAAACAACCACAAATCATAATCATTGCAAGTAAGTAGTCCTCTATGAAGTTGTCTGTCTTAAACTGAGTCAGGTGCTGGTTGGTGGATAGTATAGTCCTCACCTGCGTGGGATGGGCTGTCCTCCCCAGGCGATGTTGACTGTGTATTTACCCGTCTGGACAGGGAGATATTCACACTCATAGACACCATCACCAATATCCTTTACTTTCACCGGTCCTTCTGCTCCACCTGAGAGGAGAAACACAGTGCCATGAATAACAGGACCTTGTTGTAGTCTTTATGCAGTCTCTGATACAGCCTCTGATGCACATCGCAAATCCGTGACCCAATAAACCATAGAGGGGACAAACAAAGAGGAAGTCAAAGTATTACAATGAAAGAGAAGAGCAGCAGGTTGCATGAAGAGAGAGTTACCAGAGAGAGCTGATTGAGGATAATAAAATAAGGATTTAGTAAAGGAGAAAGGAGGAGAGAGAGGAGGAGAGAGCCCGGGGGGGGGAAAAGGAAAGGGGTGGGGGGAAAAGGGGAAGAAAGGGGGAAAAGAGAAAGGAGGAGAAGAAAGGAAAAAAGGAGGAGGAAAGGGGAAAAAAAGGAGGGGGGAACAGAGAAAGGGGAGAAGAGAAAGGGGGAAAAAGAAAGGGGGGAGAAAAGGAAAAGGGGAAAGAAAGGGAAAAAAAAAGAAAGGAGGGGAAAGAAAAAGGGAAAAGGGAGAAAAAGGGGGAAGAAAGAAAAAAAAAAAGGGGAAAAAAAGGGGGGGAAAAAAAAAGGGGGGGGGGGGGGAAAAAAAAAGGAGGGGGGGAAAAACCCCAAAAAGGGGGGGAAAAAAAGGGGGGGGGGCCCCCGGGGGTTTTGGGGGGGAAGGGGGGAAAAAAAAAAAAAAAAAAAAAAAAAAAAAAAAAAAGGGGGGGGGGTTTTTTTTTTGGGGGGGGGGGGGGGGGGGGGGGGGGAAAAAAAACCCGGGGGGGGGGGGGAAAAAAAAAAAAAAAAAAAAAATGGGGGGGGGGGGGGGGGGGAAAAAAAAAAAAAAAAAAAAAAAGGGGGGGGGGGGGGGGGGGGGGGGGGGGGGGGGGGGGGGAAAAAAAAAAAAAAAAAAAAAAAAAAAAAAAAAAAAAAAAAAAAAAAAAGGGGGGGGGGGGGGGGGGGGGGGGGGGGGGGGGGGGGGAAAAAAAAAAAAAATTCCCCTTTTTTTCCCCCCCTTTTTCCCTTTTCCCCCCCCTTTAAACAACTCCCCCCTTTCCCCCCCCCCCCCCTTATGGGCTCCCCTGGCCGCCCCTTGGATTTCTGGGGGGGGGGAAAAAGGGGGGGGACAGGGAAAAAGACGGAGATTGGGGAGGTAAAATGGACCAGGGAGGGGCGGGACTGGTAAGTCAAAACATTTTGGACCAGCGGCAAAAAGAAAAAAGGAAAAAAAAAAAAAAAAAAAGGGGGAAAAAAAAAAAATAGAAAAAGAAAAAAAAAAAAAAAATAGATAGAAAAAAAAAAAAGGGGGATGATAATAGATAATAATAGTTTTTGGAGATTTTTTTAGAAAAAAAGGAATTAATAGTTTAAAGATAGAAAAATGATAGAAAGATAGCAAAAACTTTAAGGCAGGAAAAATCCGCTTTTTCCCCATAGGTCCCTTTGAAGGAAAAGCAGTAAAAATAGAAAAAATGAAGGGGGGACCCATTTTTAAAATAAAAATTGAAGGGTTGGGATAAAATTGAATAACCCCAAAAGGGATTTGCAAAAATTTTTAAAAAAAAACCGGGCTATTGCCCCTTCTAAAAAATTTAAAAAAAATTGAATCTCCCCAAAATAAGGGACCCAAAGAAAAAAAAAATTTTTTTAAAAAATTTTTTTTTTTTTAAAAACCTCCCACTAAGACTAAAACAACTTTATTGGATAGCTTCTTACTAGTCAAGAACATTCACTTTGCTACATAATAGAGATAGAGATATCTGTCTCCAACATCAAGCTGCCATAGGCGAGGCGGCAGGCGCCCCCCAAGCATGGCACTCAGATGGTTTAGCATTGCCCCCGTCACAAGAAGCATACAGGGCATCTGCAAGGCATAGGGTATAGTGCACAGGGTATAGTGCATAGGGTATAGTGCACAGGGACGACGGGGCACGGCTAGCATATCAGCGGACAAAACGGGCGCAGGCCTCCACCTGGAGGGCCCATACTAACTTGGTCGGCCCTTTTTGCCTTTGGGGGTAGGGACACCCCCTTTCTTGCCCGCTGGCCCCTTCTCCCCCCCGGGAGAGGTGAAAGCAGACTGGGGGATAATCTGAATTGGAGGAGGACCCACCATAGAGGGAGGAGCTAAAAATCACAGACAGGAAGTTTATTTAAATTTAAACATAGTACACTAACTGATTTAGTCGTCGTGACAACCTGTTAGTAGCGCCGAGGGATTGAGATAGCTGTAGACTGCGGAACTAGAGAGTGATAGATCAACAACAGAACGACACAATGTGACAGTAGTGTCAACAACAGGGATCTTTGTAGTGACAGTTGGTGATAGTTAGATACAGTTGGTTAGCTCAGTGCTAACTCACCCTCTGCGATTTGAACTTTGAAGGGGCTCTTGGGGATCTCCTGACCAGCGAACAGGATGTGGATGGTGTGGGGGCCCTCCAACATGGGCCGGTAGGTGCAACGGAAAACACTGTCCCCCTTGTTTTCCAAGATCAGTTCCACTGTGTCTTTCTTCCCCTCAGGGTCCACGATGACAACGCTCACATCACCATTACCGGCACCTACACAAGACAACAGGAAGACACCAATCAAAATGCTGTTAATCAACCATGTGATCAAAACAAGGAAACATGGTCAAACCACGTGATCAAAACAAGGAAACATGCATGGACATTGTTGTAGGCCCTCAGAGTAAATGCATAGCCGCAGGAAGATGTTTGGGGGTGGGGGTGCTGGAATACAAATAATGCCAGTGTTACAGAAGGTTATATCGGTCTGCTAAAACAGGACTAGTAAAGGCCCAGTACACTACAATAAATATATCCATAACTCAGGGGGTGCTGTATCATCCTCAGCATCCCTACCTCCCACGGCTATGACTAAATGTTTGGACTCCTTTTCTAGTTTCACCAGTTTGACCAGCAGTGCTAGTGTGTTTCTGGTCGGACCTTGTTGAAGCCGGACCTTACCTGCGGTGTAGATGTCGAAGTAGGTGGGTTTGTTGGCCACGTTGCCGGTAGGTTCCAGCCCTGGTCCTCTGGCCTGGACCTTGTTGGGATCACCCATGGCCTTGGCAACGTTCACTGTGTAGGGGCTCTTGTCAATGTCCTGCCCAGCAAACAGCACCTTTACCTGAGGTGGAAAACATTCAAATGTTCCTGTAAGGTTCCAATGCTCTAGTGGTACATTGTGACAATGAGACGTGTAGATTGTAAAATCAAGACAAGTAAAGTTAAGTCAAATCAAATCAAGTCAAGTAAAAATATGTAAAGTAACGTAAATAATACATAACATAAATCTACATGGGATATTGATGGCAGCAGTTTGTTTACCTTGTGGACACCCTCGACCTTGGGTACGTAAGTGACAGTGTAGGTCCTGTTCTTGTCATTGTTGAAGACCACCTTAGCCTCCTCAGTGTGTCCCTCAGGGTCGGTCACATAGACCAACACCTCAGCCTGGCCTGCCTGCAGAGTCTCCACTGTGAACACTGCTGGCTTCAGAACCATGTTTCCATGGGGCTCAATACCTATGGGAGGGAGTGGGAGATAGAGTTAGATATGTTTGAGTCTATGTATATAAAACAATAATTATGCTTATCACTTGCTTGCTAGGGTTGCAAATATCGAGAAACTTTCTCAAAGTTCCTGGGGGTTTTTCTGAAATCCTGGTTGGAGGTTTCCTTCACTGCTTATTGCCTCCTGATTCCGAGAATCCTGTAACCGAGATTCCTGAGAAACCTGGGGATTTTTTGGAAAGTTTCCGGAATTTTGCAACCCTAGTCCTGATCCAACTACACTGTTTATGGTTTCCATTCCAGTGAGCACCCACCAGGTCCGTATGCCTTGGCCTTGTTGGGGTACAGCTGAGTGCCTTTGGGTTTGAGGGGAGCGCCAGGCTTCAGCTTGGCCTTGGGGAACTGGGACAGATAGGTCATCACCGAGTGTTCATCCACATCGGGATCTACAATCTCCTCAGGGGCGATCACCTAGGCAACAAGCAGGGGGTGTAAGGTTAAGGGTTAATACTGTACAACCACAATTGTCTAACTTGACTTAAACCCAGAGGTCATAGCACAACTGTTTTCACCCTTGATATCGTGGTCCTCTGTAGCTCAGCTGGTAGAGCACGGCGCTTGTAACGCCAAGGTAGTGGGTTCGATCCCCGGGACCACCCATACACAAAAATGTATGCACGCATGACTGTAAGTCGCTTTGGATAAAAGCGTCTGCTAAATGGCATATTTTTTTTAATATATTTTTTTTATATCTGGTCTTTAGTATAAATAGTCTTTAAGCAATGGAGACAGGACTAAAGGACTTAGCAGGCCTAGTATTTAGTTGGTCTACTTGGCAAAAGTTAGAAGTTAGTTTGAGGACATAGACATAACATACAGACAGACAGATATACATTTATTTATTGTTTGTTCTGTATACCAATGTGAAGGCACATTGCATGGATACTCTGCATTGTGGTCCTCTGTAGCTCAATTGGTAGAGCATGGCGCTTGTAACGCCAGGGTAGTGGGTTCGATCCCCGGGACCACCCATACGTAAAAATGTATGCGCACATGACTGTAAGTTGCTTTGCATAAAAGCTTCTGCTAAATGGCTTATTATTATATTAATTATAATCTATTCTATTCCATTGTCTCCCTCCTCCTCCTCTCCCTCCCTCCCTCCCTCTGCCATGTTGGTCGTATCACAGTCTGGTGTAAAGCTGTCTGTCTATATTTAACCCGGGTACAGCAGGGTTAAGGACTGTGGCCTCAGTAAGCCATGCAGTCAGGGGATTTAGCCCCGAGCCAAGCCCTCTCTCACAGCTCGTTTACAGCCCATGATAAAGCCTTCAGCCCTCCATGAAACACCCCCTACTCAATATACACCCTATGCCTTGTCACTAATGGCTGTGCTTAACCCAGACTATGCCATGCCACTAATGGCTGTGTTTAACCCAGACTATGCCATGTCACTAATGGTTGTGTTTAACCCAGACTATGCCTTGTCACTAATGGCTGTGTTTAACCCAGACTATGCCTTGTCACTAATGGCTGTGTTTAACCCAGACTATGCCTTGTCACTAATGGCTGTGTTTAACCCAGACTATGCCTTGTCACTAATGGCTGTGTTTAACCCAGACTATGCCATGTCACTAATGGCTGTGTTTAACCCAGACTATGCCTTGTCACTAATGGTTGTGTTTAACCCAGACTATGCCTTGTCACTAATGGTTGTGTTTAACCCAGACTATGCCTTGTCACTAATGGCTGTGTTTAACCCAGGACTATGCCTTGTCACTAATGGCTGTGTTTAACCCAGACTATGCCTTGTCACTAATGGCTGTGTTTAACCCAGACTATGCCATGTCACTAATGGTTGTGTTTAACCCAGACTATGCCTTGTCACTAATGGCTGTGTTTAACCCAGACTATGCCATGTCATTAATGGCTGTGTTTAACCCAGACTATGCCTTGTCACTAATGGTTGTGTTTAACCCAGACTATGCCTTGTCACTAATGGCTGTGTTTAACCCAGACTATGCACGCTGTGTCAGATAAATAAGTAGACAGGTAGAGAAACACCCAGTACAGCTCACAGATTCAGTTCCAGAAGATAATCTAGCAAATCTACACTTCAGCATCTTAGTATTGAATGTTTTTTTTTATTGAACCTTTATTTAACTAGGCAAGTCAGTTAAGAACAACTTATTATTTACACTGACGGCCTACACTGGCCAAACCCGGACGACGCTGGGCCAATTGTGCGCCGCCCTATGGGACTCCCAATCATGGTCGGTTGTGATACAGCCTGGAATCGAACCAGGGGGTCTGTAGTGACGCCTCAAGCACTGAGATGCAGTGCCTTAGACCGCTGAGATGCAGTGCCTTAGACCACTGAGATGCAGTGCCTTATACCGCTGAGATGCAGTGCCTTAGACCGCTGAGATGCAGTGCCTTAGACCACTGAGATGCAGTGCCTTAGACCACTGAGATGCAGTGCCTTAGACCGCTGAGATGCAGTGCCTTAGACCGCTGAGATGCAGTGCCTTAGACCGCTGAGATGCAGTGCCTTAGACCGCTGAGATGCAGTGCCCTAGACCACTGAGATGCAGTGCCTTAGACCGCTGAGATGCAGTGCCTTAGACCACTGAGATGCAGTGCCTTAGACCGCTGAGATGCAGTGCCCTAGACCACTGAGATGCAGTGCCTTAGACCACTGAGATGCAGTGCCCTAGACCACTGAGATGCAGTGCCTTAGACCGCTGAGATGCAGTGCCTTAGATGCAGTGCCTGAGATGCAGTGCCTTAGACCACTGAGATGCAGTGCCCTAGACCACTGAGATGCAGTGCCCTAGACCACTGAGATGCAGTGCCTTAGACCGCTGAGATGCAGTGCCCTAGACCACTGAGATGCAGTGCCTTAGACCACTGAGATGCAGTGCCTTAGACCGCTGCGCCACAAGTTAAAGAGTTCACTGAATACTAAACCAAAAGTAATACATAGTAGTATAAAGAACCATTGCCTCTCAGTGCATATTATCCCCAACCAAAACATCTGTTACACCTCATTCACTCGCTCCACTACGTGTGGCTTTTTCCCCCAATCAAATCAAATCAAAGGGGCTTTCTCTGGATGTGTCACCCCAGAGTAGTGTGTCTTACCTGGGGCACGCCCAGCCAGTCATCAGCCTGCTGCATGGCCTCTCTGGCATTCTCCACAGGCTGGTTAGGGTCCCAGGCCTTCCAGTCAGGGCACAGACCTACAGAGAGAGAGAGAGAGAAGAGAGAGAGAGAGAAAGGGAAGAGACGGGAGAGAGAGTGGGGGGGAGGAAGGAGGGAGGGACAGACAGGGGTTTTAGAATGGGATTGGGGTTACGGCAGTACAGTTATATAACAGTGTCCCATCTAGTCACAGAAACAACTTCATCACTACTACCCTACTACTAACTACTACTACCCTACTACTAACTACTACTAACTACTACTAACTGCTACTAACACTCTACCACCCCCATGTGACCCTGTATTTACCCACGCTGCTCTGCTCCAGTTTGTATAGATAGGTGTGTAGCTAGTCTTCGATGGAAGGGCTTCGATTTCAAAACAACGAAAGCAACAGACGTATTTGTACTTTCCCTGTCGGACACTGAGGGCTAAAGCAGACAGTCTAAACCAAGGAAATAGACTTCCTAGAACGAGCATTCCCATTCCAGCCAATGGGTCGGTGACGGGTGGACCGGAGTGTGGTTGTATTTCTATGTGCCAAACTGCCTTGTGCTGCTAATGCTTAAAGTGGATTAGCGGTTAGCTGTGCAGTGAGTTCATTGACACAAAGAGCCAAGAGCTCAACAGGACTCTGTTATCTTGTTATTACTGACACTGCTGCTGTGTAACATTACTGTAACATTACTATGGCAACTTTAAACAACGGGTCTGTTTGCATCATATCATGGTTATTCACTGTCACTGACAATAACATTATGATTACAAAGTAACCAACGGTTGGGTGGAGTAAGGACGGGTCTTCTGAAAGCAATGCATTATGACAGTAGAACTACTGTGGAAGTAGAACATTCTGTGTTTCAAGTTTCAGGTGATTTCAGCTTTGGACTTAAGCCTGGTCTCCTCCACCCCAAAATATAATATTTCAGAGCTTTATTACATTTCAATTGGACACAGAAGATTATCGTCAGGGATACAGGAGAAATAGTGTCAAACAAAGGAAAGGATGACACTTCTTGTTGTACACCTACTATCTCCAAATAAACCTACACGCAGTCAGTCCAGTCTACAGTAATGCCTAACTAACTACATAAGCCTAACTAAGGATTGGACTGGAGCCATATTAGTCATCTCTCTAAATGCTATTAGGTGTTGAATTGAGAGCCATGGCCTTGTATGGTCACATCATCTGTAGCTCGCCGGGTGTTGGAGAACTGCCGTAACACATCCCAGGATCTAGCCATGTAAACAGTCAACCGCAGTGTTCTAGACTCTTTCTGTTCTAGAACTCAAAAAGGAGTCTTTCTAAGGCTGCGTGCCAGAGGGTCAGAGTGTGCTGTAACCTCTGGTCAAACTGGAGTCCTTTCAAGTCAACGAGTCATCCTTGTGAATCTTGGCACTCCTGCGCCAAAGCTCATCCTCATGCCATCCATCTCCAGCACAGAACATGCTGTTTTTAAAGCTCTGCCAAGCATCTAAGCGCATGTCCCTTGGCAGATGAAGAGGAATCGTGCCCAAATTTGGGGGTCTTGTGTGGGAGGCTATAAACACTAAAGCCAGGCTTACGTCCTCTGGGCCTGAGAGAGCTGCTTCGCTTAGTCAGAAACAGCTGGCAGGGACGTCCTCTGTCTGTCTGTCTGTCTGTCTGTCTCTTCTCTTCTCTCTCTCTCTCTCTCTCTCTCTCTTTCTCCATCTCTCTCTCTCTCTCTCTCTCTCTCTCTCTCTCTATCTCTCGCGCTCTCTCTCTCTCTCTCTCTGTCTGTCTGTCTGTCTGTCTGTCTGTCTGTCTGTCTGTCTGTCTGTCTATCTGTCTGTCTATATGTGTCTCTCTCTGTCTCTCTCTCTGGCTCAACAGGACCACTGAGGCCTACTGACCCTGCCAGGCTGTGTAAATGATACCATGATACCATATCAAATACAACAACTGACTCATAGCTGACCCTAACATCTCACCACAGTAACTCATAGCTGACCCTGACCTCTCACCACAGTAACTCATAGCTGACTCCTGACATCTCACCACAGTAACTCATAGCTGACTCCTGACATCTCACCACAGTAACTCATAGCTGACTCCTGACCTCTCACCACTGTAACTCATAGCTGACTCCTGACATCTCACCACAGTAACTCATAGCTGACTCCTGACATCTCACCACAGTAACTCATAGCTGACCCTACATCTCACCACAGTAACTCATAGCTGACCCTAACATCTCACCACAGTAACTCATAGCTGACCCTAACATCTCACCACAGTAACTCATAGCTGACCCTAACATCTCACCACAGTAACTCATAGCTGACCCTAGACATCTCACCACAGTAACTCATAGCTGACCCTGACCTCTCACCACAGTAACTCATAGCTGACCCTGACATCTCACCACAGTAACTCATAGCTGACCCTAACATCTCACCACAGTAACTCATAGCTGACCCTAACATCTCACCACAAGTAACTCATAGCTGACCCTGACCTCTCACCACAGTAACTCATAGCTGACCTCTTAACATCTCACCACGTAACTCATAGCTGACCCTAACATCTCACCACAGTAACTCATAGCTGACCCTAACATCTCACCACAGTAACTCATAGCTGACCCTGACCTCTCACCACAGTAACTCATAGCTGACCCTGACCTCTCACCACAGTAACTCATAGCTGACCCTAAACATCTCACCACAGTAACTCATAGCTGACTCCTGACATCTCACCACAGTAACTCATAGCTGACTCCTGACCTCTCACCACAGTAACTCCATGGAATGCCTCTCAGAGAGTATCATAGTGACTCCGGCATCACAATGAATATAGCGACTCCTGACATTACCACAGTAACATGCTGACCCGGCCTCTCACACAGTAATTTGCTTGCCTGATTCAAAGTAATCCAAGCTCCCGAACACCACACAGTAAACATACCGGCAACAAGAAATTCACATTAACTTACCAGGGGCACAGTTGTCTACCAGGGCCTCACACTAAACTCTTCCTGAGTCAGTTCCAAGCCTCCCAACCACCACAGCTAGTTAAACTGTTACTAAATCAGTTCTTACCAGGGCACAGTTGTCTACCAGGGCTCCCAGGGCCTCACACTAAACTGTTCCTGAGTCAGTTCCAAGCCTCTCAACCACCACAGCTAGTTAAACTGTTACTAAATCAGTTCTTACCAGGGGCACAGTTGTCTACCAGGGCTCCCAGGGCCTCACACTAAACTGTTCCTGAGTCAGTTCCAAGCCTCCCAACCACCACAGCTAGTTAAACTGTTACTAAATCAGTTCTTACCAGGGGCACAGTTGTCTACCAGGGCTCCCAGGGCCTTGCCGTCCCTCCAGTCGCGGTGGAAGTTGTTGATGGGCAGCTCAGGCACCTTGTTCTGGATCCATCCCAGCAGCCTCTGCTTGGGGGTCAGTTTCTTAGCCTCCTCATCGTCCTCGTCCTCCCACATGGGCATGGAGATGGAGTAGTGCAGGATCAGAGTCCAGATCAGACCTAGGATCAGCTTCAGGTTACCGTCCACGATGGCCTTGGAGTCTGGAGGGGAGAGGAATACAGATCAAGGGTCAGATTTAGGTTCCTACTATCCATGTTATGGCCTTAAGTGTAGAGAGTGAGAGGAGAGAGAGAGAGAGAGAGGAGAGAGAGAGAGAGAGGAGAAGAGAGAGAGAGAGAGAGAGAGAGAGAGAGAGAGAGAGAAAGAGACGAGGAGAGAGTAGAGGAAGAATAGGGAGAGATAGAGATCTCTCTCTCTCCGTCGCCTCTATCTAGATAGCTAGGAGAGAGAGAGAGAGAGAGGAGGAGGAAACAGGACACAAGAGGGAAATCCAATGTGTTTTGGGTCTGATAATGTCCTCAAGAGGGGGTTACATTTCACTACAGGTACTAGGCTACACAATAACTGACTGGTCAGGAGAGTGACCGAGTATCCGTGGTATTCCACAGACAGACAGACAGACAGCAGGGACAAGAACAGCTCAACAGCTGACAACATATGTTGAAATGGAATCTTTACTAAGTCAACAGCACTTGGATTTCAATTGCTTTGAAAGCGCTTTAAAAGCATTTACCTTCAGTATGAGATAAATCAATGAAGATGCAGTAAGTAGCAGACAACAAAGTATATCTAAAAACCAGTGTATTCTTAGAGTAGTCATCTCAACTTAAACCAAATAGTGTATTTTTAGAGTAGTCATCTCAACTTACACCAAATAGTGTATTCTTAGAGTAGTCATCTCAACTTAAACCAAATAGTGTATTCTTAGAGTAGTCATCTCAACTTAAACCAAATAGTGTATTCTTAGAGTAGTCATCTCAACTTAAACCAAATAGTGTATTCTTAGAGTAGTCATCTCAACTTAAACCAAATAGTGTATTCTTAGAGTAGTCATCTCAACTTAAACCAAATAGTGTATTCTTAGAGTAGTCATCTCAACTTAAACCAAACAGTTTGTTCTTAGAGTAGTCATCTCAACTTAAACCAAACAGTTTGTTCTTAGAGTAGTCATCTTATTATTATTTTTTATTTTATATTTCACCTTTATTTAACCAGGTAAGCCAGTTGAGAACAAGTTCTCATTTACAACTGCGACCTGGCCAAGATAAAGCAAAGCAGTGTGATAAAAACAACAACACAGAGTTACATATGGGGTAAAAAAACATAAAGTCAAAAAATACAACAGAAAATATATATACAGTGTGTGCAAATGTAGCAAGTTATGGAGGTAAGGCAATAAATAGGCTATAGTGCAAAATAATTACAATTAGTATTAACACTGGAATGATAGATGTGCAAGAGATTATGTGCAAATAGAGATACTGGGGTGCAAAAGAGCAAAATAAATAACAATATAGGGATGAGGTAGTTGGGTGGGCTAATTTCAGATGGGCTGTGTACAGGTGCAGTGATCGGTAAGGTGCTCTGACAACTGATGCTTAAAGTTAGTGAGGGAGATAAGAGTCTCCAGCTTCAGAGATTTTTGCAATTCGTTCCAGTCATTGGCAGCAGAGAACTGGAAGGAATGGCGGCCAAAGGAGATGCTGGCTTTGGGGATGACCAGTGAGATATACCTGCTGGAGCGCAGACTACAGGTGGGTGCTGCTATGGTGACCAATGAGCTAAGATAAGGCGGGGATTTGCCTAGCAGTGATTTATAGATGGCTGGAGCCAATGGGTTTGACGACGAACATGTAGTGAAGGACCAGCCAACAAGAGCGTACAGGTCACAGTGGTGGGTAGTATATGGGGCTTTGGTGACAAAACGGATGGCACTGTGATAGACTACATCCAATTTGCTTAGTAGAGTGTTGGAGGCTATTTTGTAAATGACATCGCCGAAGTCAAGGATCGGTAGGATAGTCAGTTTTACGAGGGCATGTTCGGCAGCATGAGTGAAGGAGGCTTTGTTGCGAAATAGGAAGCCGATTCTAGATTTAACTTTGGATTGGAGATGCTTAATGTGAGTCTGGAAGGAGAGTTTACAGTCTAACCAGACACCTAGGTATTTGTAGTTGTCCACATACTCTAGGTCAGACCCGTCGAGAGTAGTGATTCTAGTCGGGTGGGCGGGTGCCAGCAGCGTTCGATTGAAGAGCATGCATTTAGTTTTACTAGTGTTTAAGAGCAGTTGGAGGCTATTGAAGGAGTGTTGTATGGCATTGAAGCTCGTTTGGAGGTTTGTTAACACAGTGTCCAATGAAGGGCCAGATGTATACAAAATGGTGTCGTCTGCGTAGAGGTGGATCTGAGAGTCACCAGCAGCAAGAGCGACATCATTGATATACACAGAGAAAAGAGTCGGCCCAAGAATTGAACCCTGTGGCACCCCCATAGAGACTGCCAGAGGTCCAGACAACAGGCCCTCCGATTTGACACATTGAACTCTATCTGAGAAGTAGTTGGTGAACCAGGCGAGGCAGTCATAACTTAAACCAAACAGTGTATTCTTAAGAGTTCTAATCTCAACGTAAACCAAACAGTAACATGATAACATCCTTCATTGGTTTAGAGTACACACTAAACTGGACAGGATAAAGTGTACCAAAACCTTGTGTAATAATACATTCCATAGACTTAAATGCTAAACTTTTTGGACATAAATTTTGCCCAAGATATGACCTCATTGGACAGAAAGATAGAAGCTGCTTAACAACAGTTCTAGTAAGTGGAGAGGCTGGTCATGTGAGCTGTCTATCTCTGAGTCTAGAATCTATATATTCTACTCTGGTTCAGCGACCTCTGGTGCTGGACACTACAGTGCTGCTTGATGACTGTTTGACCATTAGACTGACTGGCATGGGCAGGTGGTGTGGCGTGGTGTGGTTTGGCTGGGGGGGGGGGGGGGGGGGCTGCTGCATGGCTTGATGTGGTTTTAATAATAATGCCATCTCAGGCTTTGTGGACAGCTGTGGGCCATGTGGTCAAGCGGTCATCTGACAAACAGTGTGTGCCAGTGAGACAGGTGGTTTTTAGTATCCTCGTTCCTCAGTATAAATTAATTTAGTTAGATTTGTGTTCACTGTGTGTTGTGTTGTTCACTGTTCACCCAGAGCTTGGTGTTGCTGTGTCTGAGACTCGACAGGCAGCAGGCGTCAGGAGAGGAATGACAGCGCCACCATTATCATGTCCTTGTTTCTGTCAAAGCTGACAAGGTCGCGGGGATACCTTCTCCGCCTGTCACTCCCCAACCCACACACGGACCTTGGGCATTGGGTGTATGACCCCTAACCTCTTTACGGACACTACACTGCGGAACCTTGGGACATTCCTTAGGCGTGAGGTCGATAGCTGAAGAGAGTTCACACATGACACACGCACGCTGTGCCCTTCACAACCCCCTGCTCAAAGCGGCGCTCACACCGGGAATTTCACCAGGCCGTGTGGGGAGAGTAATCAGTCAGCACGGCAGAGGGACACACAGTCAGGTGTTTAATAACCCTTCTTTTTTAGTGAAATATGAGGCTGGAAAACACTAGCTAGGTTTCTCTTCTCTAGTCCAAACCCTTAATGATGAGATGGTTAAGTAAACACACTGAACAAACATACTGTACATAAACTAGACAAATTAGAAACTTTCAGAGAAATGAAATAAACGGTGCTTCAGGAGTTTCTACTGTTCTTAGACACCGTAGCAACAATCACCAAAGTCATGGGTCTATCCAGATCTACTTAGATGTACTTCTATGACTGTGACAACATGTCAATATGTCCCTACAGCATGTCCAGTCCCCTCCTACCTCACACACACACATAGACCTACAGACTCTGCTATGCTAAATCTACCTCTCTCCATCTAAATCCCTGAAGGAAGGGAGTCCAATGTCCAGGGGTCAGGGTCCAGCTATCTATAACTAAATTACTCCTCCCAGGGCTTAGCTACCTCTGTGGAGACAATAGCACCATGCGTATCACTCTTATCCCAAACCAGGACACATGCCCTCAGCCAGCCTAACCCTCACCTCCACACACTAACAGAGGGATCCCAGAGGATAACCGTGCACCTACTGTTAAGCTTGTCTGTATGGGCTATGTAGCCAAATAAACGGCCGTAGGAAATCTGGGACCAGGCTAGCCAGACAGTCACAATGACATGACAATGACCATAAGAATTGTCTTACAGTCCTAACATGTCTGGGACCGGGGACTAATGGGTGAGGAGTTAGTGGCTGTCGGCATAAACCCCCTTACCTCTCCCTCTGACTAAGTCCTGGCATGACCCTTCTGACCTTTAACTGGTGTGATTATGAGGTGTGGAGTGTTTGTGGAGTGAGATGGGTGTGATGTGCGTGTGTGTGTGTGTGTGTGTGCGTGTGTGTCTTTCTCATTAACACAGTCCTAGTGAATTTCCACCCAGCAGATCGCAGAGCCAAGCCTGACAGTGCCACTGCAATAGTTTGAGTAAAACACTGCAGATTGACATGAGAGTCCAGGGTGGACGGCTTGCCTTTGCCGTGACATGGCACCTCTGCTGTGAGAGTTTCCAGAGAGACGGCTGACCCATGCCCACTTTGAGAAAGCCGTGCATCAGACAATAGAGCACCTGCCAAGCTGGGTTTACAGAGGTGTCATAATACTGTAGCTGGATGTTTAGACTCAGGGTTATGTGTAGTCATCACAGAGGGTTATGTGTATTCATCACAGAGGGTTATGTGTAGTCATCACAGAGGGTTATGTGTATTCATCACAGAGGGTTATGTGTATTCATCACAGAGGGTTATGTGTAGTCATCACAGAGGGTTATGTGTATTCATCACAGAGGGTTATGTGTAGTCATCACAGAGGGTTATGTGTAGTCATCACAGAGGGTTATGTGTAGTCATCACAGAGGGTTATGTGTATTCATCACAGAGGGTTATGTGTAGTCATCACAGAGGGTTATGTGTAGTCATCACAGAGGGTTATGTGTATTCATCACAGAGGGTTATGTGTATTCATCACAGAGGGTTATGTGTAGTCATCACAGAGGGTTATGTGTATTCATCACAGAGGGTTATGTGTATTCATCACAGAGGGTTATGTGTATTCATCACATAGGGTTATGTGTATTCATCACAGAGGGTTATGTGTATGCGTCACCCAACATATGATATCATCATAAGGCAAGCGCAAAGAAATGACACTGACAGTCAATAACTAATTTACAATGTATTCATTAATTAATAATTAACGGATTCATGTACGAGTAAAACGTTTTTAAAAAGCTATAATTTTGTAACATTTTGTCAAAATAATGTGCTGCTCTGTACTGTCTGGCCTCTCCAGATGATGCACTGGACTTTCATCCTCCCCTTTCCCCTCTCTCTCTCTCTCAAAGATTAATTAAAAACATTCCAGCCCAAACGCTCACTTATCACTTACCAATAGACACCAACTTGATGTGTTCCCTGTCCAAAAATTCCAGAGCGACGGACACATTTTCCAGTTTCATCTGTCGGAAGTTGGGTCTGGTGTGGTGCTTTTTGTACATCTTTTTCTGGCTCAGAACTTCCAGGAGCCCAATGAGCTTTAAACCGTCGCCAAAATCCTTCTGGAGGTCTGTCACGGTCTTGTTGACGCACTTGAGGTGCTCGTTGCACCACCTTGTAAAGGTGTTCTGCTGGATTTTCTTCCATGGTGCATCCTCGGCAAGATCCTTCTCCGTAGCCGGCATCTCGTCTTCCTCGTCCCCCTCGAAGTTGTCAGTGCCCTGGTAGTACTGTGGTGGCTGGCTGTCGTCGTAGTAATGTGTGTTATTGCTCGTCATGTTGGCGGTTTTCCGTGTGTCCCTTTTTATACAGCAAGTCAGAAGGATGTGTGAAGTTATCTGCAAAAAAGTTTAGCGTGTCGGTGCCAAGCGCGAGCGCACTTGCCGTGGTAAAAGTTCAAAACTTGGAGAAGGGAGTTAAAATATATGGTCTCCCGGAGACTTTTCGGATGTCCTTGTGAAGAAGCCACTTCTTGTCAGGACAATGATGAATTGATCCGATTTACAGACCTTGCTACAGCAACGCAGCCTGTCGCTGGTTTTTTAATTGGCAGTGGCTTGACAAATGTAGTCGTTCCCTCTTAATAGATAGGCTCAGAGAAGAATGTCGCTTTTTGAAAAATGGTACATCAGTCCAGTAAATGTATAGCACTTGAGTAGTAGAGTAGCAGTTGAGTAGTAGAGTAGCAGTTGAGTAGTAGATAGTTCAGTGTTTTCAGTAGAGTCGGTTGGTTAAACTTGAATGGTGTGAGGTGGGCAAGAGTGGGGTATATAAAGACCCTTTGGCCACGTCACACCCGTCGTAGACCCCCATGTCATAATTACAATCATAGACTATTTTCTAATCCATGTGGATAACCGGGGAGTCAGGATTGGCCGTAAAGGATGATGGGGCAGTGATTGGCCCGAACAGTGGACCCCCACCCTGACCAACAGTTGTGACAGCGCGCTGTATTTTTAGACACTCCAATTTGGGTGGTGGGAGGCTGGGACTTCTTGGTTGTTGTAAAGTAGCCTAGTGTGTTATGATCAGTGCTCGGGCTCCTGAGTTGTTAAACAATTTAACCAAGAAAAGAAAATGACGCATCCTAAAATCAAGTGGGTTTTAATATGTGGCTCATACCGTTGAGGTTTAGGCTATACTATGTTTATGATATTACATTGCCTATTGGCCTTTAACCACTTTGTTAAATCCTTAAAACATGATTTCTTATTTGATGAGATTATGTCCTACACAGAAGCCTCGTTTACACCTTGCGCTAACATCAATATGATCCAATCACTAGCCTATCAGATCAAGGTTTGTGGTGCCATGTCCACACATAGTATTTGAAATGTTATCAATCCATTGTTTCCGCATTGTGACCAAATTAGCTGGTGCCTCCCTGTATGCAAATTATTTCACAGATATTCTTTCAAAATAATATGAATGTATTTATTTAAGACAATTGCTGATGCCATAAATCACTACCTGTCAATGATTTTAGAGGCCTGTGTAATGATGATTTAAATACTTTGACCATCCAGATCTGTTTACACTTGATTGATATCCAGACACAAATCACACAATGCGTGCCTGACTACCTCTGGAGGTGGTCAGAAAGATCAGATTACAATCAGATCACAGTGTGTCTTTTAATAATCTACACCTGTCTAAAGATGTGGGCACAATCAGAATTTGGACACGATCGGGACAAAGGGCGAGATGTTAGCACCAGGTAGCGAACAGGGCTTCTAGTTTAGCCTCTGATGGTTATGTTGTCCTTTTGCCCCTTTTACCACTTTGCTAAATCCTTGTAATGATATTTAAACTGATAGGGATTATCCTTATCTCCAAGAGAGAGAGAGAGAGAGAGAGAGAGAGAGAGAGAGAGAGAGAGAGAGAGAGAGAGAGAGAGAGAGAGACAAAGAGAGAGATTTGGGAAGCTTTGATCATGAGCCATGAGGTCATATTGCTAGTGGTTCATCAAGCTACGAAAGCCATCGGTTCACAATTATGTGCCACCTCTCTGTGAAATATGTATTGTCAATAAACAAACTAACAGAGGTCAACAATGCATTCCTCCATGAAGACTAGTGTCCCTTTCAATGCAGCTCTGCAATTGTTGACCAGAGGTCAAATGACCCCTGACCTCCTCGCGGGCAGAGGGAGCTGAGGGAAACTTTGATGTCATATTATGTCATCCAGGCAAATACCATAAACGCTAACATCAACCAATGATATTTAGACCAGACATTAGTCTGCAAAGTCGGCTGTTGTCTAAGTGACCTACAGCTCTGAGAATGTTCAACAGAGTGATTGATTAACAGTGTGATTGGCTGTTTGTTGTAATGTTATTAGCCTATAATAACTTATCAATAACATCATTATAAAAAGTTTATAGAGTCCGTATGAAAAAATATATTTTGACCTAAAAGGGACAACCAGGTAAAATAAAGACAAAAAAAGAAGGTCATATAAAGAAGATTAATTGTAAGCAATTTCTGGGGCGAGGGTCTAGGCACTGGCTGCGCTGCGTCTATGTCTAAGGCACTCATGCATCTAAGCTGTCCCATTGAGATCTGTTCGAACCAGGACTTAGTCTAGCAACGGCGTGTCAGTGACCACAGCGCTGCGAATGCTTCACAGAGTGAGGAATGCGGCAGGGATGTTGGTTGAGGGTTTTCAGCCAGGGTGTGTTACGATCATAACACAGTATGAAAAATAAAAAAAAATATATTTGCCCTAAAAGGACAACCGGGTAAATGCTCGGAAAGAGGTCATCTAAAGTAAAAAATGTAAGACTATTATGTGTATTTTCAGGTCTCAAGGCTATCCTAAGCCCCGTTTATACCTGGTGCTAACGTGCGCCGTTTGTCCTCCTTCTGTCCACATTCTGAATATGCCCACATTTGTAGACAGGTGTAAACGATTAACGGATACATTGTGATCTGATTGTGATCAGATCTTTCTGACCACCTCCGGAGGTAGTCAGGCACGCATTGTGTCTGGATATCAAACTAGTGTAAACAGATCTGGATGGTCAAACCATTTAAATCATCATTATACCGACCTCTAAAATCATTGACAGGTAGCACCATTGACTTATGGCATTAGTAATTGTCTTTAAATAAAAATATATTATTGTGGAAAAATATCTGTCAATTAATTTGCATACAGGGAGGTGCCAGCTAATCTGGTTACAATGGGGACACAGTGTATGGATAAGAGGCATATTTGAATACAATGTGTAGATGAAACAAACCTCAAATCAAATAGTGATTGGATCATATTGATCAGATCACGAAACTCACATGTTAGCGCTTGGTGTAAACGAAGCTCTAGAGTGTTGAGTGGGACAGCATGAGACAGTGACACCTCTAGGCTGGGCTATCCTTGATAGCAAGGGGGGTTCAGAATAACTGTGACACATACTAGACTTGGGTTCGAATACTATTTTAAATCTTTCAAATACTTTTAACGTTCGCTTTAGCCTGCCCGTAGTGCCAGTGTTTGCGTTTGCACTTTTGCGACTATTTTATTGGTTCCATTGTGTCAGACAAGCCTAATCAAGCCCATTTGAAGTATTTTGAAGTTATTTGAAATACTGTTTGAAACCAGGTCTGACACATACACCGAGTGTAAGCTATCCTTGACGGGGTAAGCATAGCTAGTAGTGGAGTAAGAAAAATTGTGACAGAGCGTGTCCAGGATAGTCATACCCCAGACAGGACATGGGTAGGATTCCCTCTTGTTGTTTTAACACACTTCAGAGAAAATATACTGTAATACGTCACTTAAAAATGTTATGCTTAATAACTTGTTATAAGCACGTATGAGCCTTTATAACGTCATATTAGTCTTAATGTGTTATGTCCCTCCATGTATACATTTGTCTAACTTTTTAAAAAACTAACTCAAAATGGCCTAAATGTATTCAGGATCATTACGACGTGCTTTTTATAAGTAAATGTAATCACACAGTGACCGTTCCAGAACATTCGTCTCATTTGTCAGACACTTGCCCTTGAGTCAATGGAACAAGATCATTTCTATATTCACCGTCGGTCCAGTATAACCGCCAGTCAGGCTAATTTGCATGCAAACTCAGTAAACCGTGAGTGTTATTAAAGTCTCTGAGTAATGAGTGTAATATGGAAGGCCTCGTCAACATCCTTGGCACCCGGAGCCTCCCCTCGTATGTCTGAAATGACTGCCCGGCTGTCAGAGAGTTAATGACACTGATATAGAGGCAGCGTCCCAAACGGCACACTATTCCTGTCCCTGGTCATAAGTACTGGACTATGTAAGGACGTGACATTTGGAATGCAGACATATAGTTTTTAGTTTATTAGTTGCTATGCGACCTGTGTAATGTGATGCCGGGGAAAAAAGAGGCGCTCGTCGCTCTGTGTGACACCGACATGGGTCACGCTGGTAATTTCATGAATGGGATTCCTTCTGAAAACCTTAAACCCTCTACCTCTACCCCATTGGGAAACATTTGGCACATGACGTCTTGGTGACGTTGTCTTCGGCTTGTAATGAGAAGACGTCATATAACCAGAACGCAACCAACTGGTCTTTGTTATAAACAGGAAATATGTATTTTTCTTGATCACATTAACCCTTTAACTGGCACACCAAGAAAAAAAAACCCAGAAAAATTATTGTTCTGCAAAATATGTGTATTTAGACTAAATAAAGGCAGTAAATGAATATTTGTTTGTATGTATGACTTAAACTGTGATAGATAATGCATCGCAAACATCTCAACCAGCTGGTTAAGTTGCCCAGTTAGAGTAAACTCATTTTGTATTGGAATTTGTATGCACTCACTAACTGTAAGTCGCTCTGGATAAGAGTGTCTGCTAAATGACTAAAATGTAAATGTGAAATTTGCATAGACTTTTTAAATCATCCAAAAAAAGTATACATTAATTTACATTATGTCTGCTTCCTTTACTTATAATGGAAGAAAGGCCTAGTTAAATTAGGACTGATATCAAATATTGATAAAATATGATACGTTTGTGTGTAAAAATATGAATATTCAAATGCATGTAAATGTATGTGTTTACGGTTTATATGCTTAGAATACCAGTAAAATGACATGTACTGAATGATATTGTGAAACACGTGGAAGATAGCAGGCAGACAGTAAATAATGATATGGATTTGAAATGATTTTTGTATTTGCACAGACAAAAAAATCCCATAAGAACATTTCTCTATTGTCCACTATCACTAGCTTTGACTTAATAGGATTCCTTTAATGGGCAGCTCAACCGCCTGGTAG